GAGAGGGAGAGAGAGAGAGAATATATATATACCTTTTCTATGAATATACCCACTTTTACTTCAGAGTAACTTTGGAGTATGTTTTCCTGTGTAGCACTGGCTGTCTTGGAACTCTGTAGACCAGGTTCCTTCAAACTCCATTGCCTGTCTTCTGAGTGCTGGGATTACAGGCATGAGCAGCCATTACCCAGCTAAATACGTTATTTTCCGTGTGCACAGGCGCTTTAATTGCACTCTACCTATGCACCACATGCATGCCCCTAGTGCTCTCAGGGGTTAGGGTGCTGGATACTCTGGATCTGGAGTTACACAAGACTGGGAGCTGTTTCAGTTTAACATATTAGGAATTCCTTCCAAGCTAAATACCCTCCTACAAAAGATATTGGCACTTTTTGAGTTTATATTTCAAGACAGGGAGGGTCTTACTACGTTGCTCTGAAAGACCAGGAATTTACTATAAAATCCCTGCCCATGCCTCTCAAATGCTGGCATTTAAAAAGGCACACAACAATGCCGGGCGGTGGTGGTGCACGCCTTTAATCCCAGCACTTGGGAGGCAGAGACAGGCAGATTTCTGAGTTCGAGGCCAGGCTGGTCTACAGAGTGAGTTCCAGGACAGCCAGGGCTATACAGAGAAACCCTGTCACGAAAAACCAAAACAAACAAACAAACAAACAAAAACCCAAAACAAAAACAAAAAACAAAACAAAACAAAACAAAATAAAAAGGCACACAACTACACCTGGTATGATACACTTTAAAACATAATTTCATTAAACAATTCCTTTTTGCTAGACAAGGATATTGTTCCTAGATTTGCATTCTAAAGTTCCCATTGAGGTAGGTTTGCCAGGTTTAAGAACTATGCTTTTCAGGTTGGAGGGATGGCCCATCAGTTAAAAGCACAGTTTACTGGTCTACCAGAGGACCAAAATCATTCCCAGCACTCACATGCTATCTCACAAACATCTCTAATTCCAATTCTTGGGAACCCAACACTCTCTCTTCTGGTTTTCACAGGCACCAGACAACCAAGTGCTATTCAGGCATATAAGAAGGCAAAATACCCACACACGAAATAAATAAAATTACCACCTTTAAACAAATTATTTTTTTAAATAAGAAAGTATTTAAAAAGATTATCAACATAAATCAGAAGTACAGGGAAGCATAAAAAACATTCACATGTTGATGAACAGCTTCTTTTAGAAATGAAATATGTAAACAGAACCATCAGGAATAGGCAAAACATCAAACATACAAAATTTAAATAAAAATTGAATATTTAACATTCTGTACAAAATGTTGCTCTGTATAGTTAATGACCAGGCTTTCTATATAGTTCCTGCTGTCCTTGAAAAGGTGACTAGTTTTCTATATATGGGTGTGATGTCAGCAGGACTCTAGTTTCAGGAAGGGAACTGCTTTGCCTAGTCGAAGAGCTCCAGAACCATTTGCAGAGAAATCAGAATTTGAGCAGCCACTTCCTGATGCTGGACATGGGATTTGCTTCAGATCTTCATTCTGATAAACATTCTTGAACAAAACCTCCCTGGATGACTCTGGTAGACTCAAATCTCAGTAGTGAAATTTACTGGGCCCAAGAACACTCCTGAAAAGATTTAAAATGGCCACATGATTTCTCGAACAGTTTCTGAGATGAAAAAAGGACATGTTCCACCATGCAAACACCCAAGGGCCAGCACTTTACATCCTTACAGCAGAGCAGAGGGGCATGGTGAAGCCTCCCTGCATCTCTGCACTGTCAGCATATCAACTGGACCATCTGTGCTGCATTTTAATTTCATTCTTGGAAAAACAGTACTTCTCAATGTTCTTTCCTAGGTTACAGGCTTGTTTTCCAGGTCCTTCTTTCAGATGCAGTTTCTTAGGAGGCTAAACTTGTTCTGTCAAGGTGCTGATCAGATCTTCTAGGTTCTGTAAGACTAACCCTGCACTCTATTTTTTTTTTTTTTTTAAGATTTAACATATGTGAGTACACTGTTGCTGTCTTCAGACACACCAGAAGAGGGCATCAGATCCCATTACAGATGGTTGTGAGCCACAATGTGGTTGTTGAGAATTGAACTCAGGACCCCTGGAAGAACCGTCAGTGCTCTTAACCACTGAGCCATCTCTCCAGCCCCTAACCCTGAACTCTTAACTCAAAGCTATGTTTCTAAAATCTTTAAAATACACACAAACCCCACTAAACAAACTTATGTTTGAGTATTTTGCCTCTTCATGTATGTGCCACATGTGTGCTTGGGGCCCAGAGGACAGAGACAGTGTTGGATCCCTTGAACTGGAGTTAGAGATACGTGAGTTATCACGTTATGTGGGTGCTGGGAACTGAACCTGGGTTCTTCTGGGTCATCTCTCCAGCTGCCCCTCATTCAAGAAATTAATTCTGGAGTTGGAACTTTATTCACAGCATATTCTTATGAACCCTCCCCACAGCCACTTAGAAATGGCTTTCAAACAGCAAAGAAACTGGAACTGAGCTGAGGTTTACTGATCGCTAATCTTACTTGAGCATGCTCCCTACAGGAACCCGCTCATGGGATGCTCTTAGCTAGCCTATTCCAGCTTGTTCCTAAACACAGCCCTTTATCTGATACTCTACAGAGCCTTGGCAGTCCTAGAACTCACCCTGTAGACCAAGCTGGCTTTGAATTCAGAGATTCACCTGCTTCTGCATCCTGAGTGCTAGGATTAAGGTGTGTATCAGAACTGCAAGGCTAAAGAATCTGTTTTAATGGCATTGATAAACTTTCTGTTGAGTTTACCAAACCAAAACCCAAACCCAGCTTGTTAGTTTCACGTGGATCAAATTTAATGAACAATCAGAGAAACGTTAAGGAAAATTTCCCAAAGGTGAGTTACATAAGTTTCCAATCATGCATTAATTTTAATCTAGCTTATATAACAATTTTTTTTTTGTTTTTGTTTTTTGAGACAGGGTTTCTCTGTATAGCCCTGGCTGTCCTGGAACTCACTCTGTAGACCAGGCTGGCCTCAAACTCAGAAATCTGCCTGCCTCTGCCTCCCAAGTGCTGGGATTAAAGATGTGCGCCAGCACCGACTGGCTTTATATAACAAATTTGTATTAATTTTTTCCTTATTAAAAATAACACAACTGCTGTTATCACACAAATCCAATGATCAGGTGCAGATAAATAAAGGGGGTAGGGGAACAGGGCAGAGTAAGTTGGAAACTGAACAAATCACACTGCAGGCAGCGGACAGGACAGTGGTTTCCAGCTAGTCCCTGTCTCCAAAATTAACAGGCACACCCAGTTTCTAGAAAGAAGCACCAAAATTCCTTCATGGAGATGACATCGGATTTTTGACATCAGTGACCAGACGGTCAAGGAACATTCTTCCTGCACAGCATAATACTTAGGGGAAAAACAGCTGGAGACTTCAATAGCGTGAACAATAACACATGAGGAAAAGTGAATCCCTGATACACCAACCCTCAAAGATACAGATCTTTAATTGAAAAGAGTAAGTTTATTCATGGAGAAAGAACTAACAAAACACTCTAGAGACTTTTAGTCATTTAAAACAAATTAAAAACCTACCAGGTAGTCTAGAGATGCAGGATGACCTTGAACATCTGACCCTCTACTCTTGGAGTACATAGGAAACAGGCTTACACTACACCTGACTTATGTGGTACTGGATACTGAACCCAGGGCCTAGTGCATGGCAGGCATGTGCTCTAGCAATTAAGTGGCAACTGTGGCTCCTAAGGAACACTTGAATTCCATTGTCTTCATCTGCTTAAGATTCCTCTGTGAGCACAGCAAAGAGCCGAAGAATTTGATGACTAGGAGGAGTTAGGTACTTTGGTGGCTGGGAGATCACATAGTGCTGGGAGAAAAACACTACTTCCTTTGAGGGGTTGACTCAGCACAGACATATGAACTCACTTCTTCCGCCCTCCTGATGCTTACGTCTGTGTGGATCATTATACCAATACGGTATGACAACCACACACTCCTCCTCCTAAGAGCTCAGAACTGGACGGGTAGGATACTCTCCTCAGTATACGCTCTAAGATGGGCCCAAGGCAGCAGCATGATAGATGACTTCTTCCTGCCCTTGTGTGGCAACAAAAGCCTTGCTGAGTAAGAGAATCTAGCCCCTAGGTTTTAGCTGTAGAGATCTAACCTTTTCCGTTTTACTGGGCTATTCTGGTCATGCAGATGGCACAAACCATCTGCAGCAATGTCTCTTCTTGTCTCCTCCATGGGTTCTGAAGGAAAGTCCTGGCCTTTGGCCAGGACTTGACGAACAGTCATATTAACTCGAGCAGTTTTCAAGTAGGTGGCACACACCTGCCAATCCTCCACAGAACAGGGCTCCACCAGTGAATTGCTCGGGAGGACAGCTGGGAGAGGTGTCTCTAGGCAGTGAGGAAGGCACTCCCCATCAGGATGTGGAAGGACTCGAGGGACTGCATGATTTAACAGACGGCTGAAACCTGACATTACCATGATGTCACCACTGTGCATAAACATGGCCGTGGGGGCTTCATCTCTCTTGAGGCCACCCAGAAGAAAGATGGCAGACTGTCCAAAACTACAAAAAAAAAAAAAAAAAAAGTTTCTGTTAGTTACATTTGTGAAAGTTACTACTAACTATTCTTTTTTCATTGCAGATGGACACTGGTTCCAAGTTCTTACATTTCTTAATTTGCCACAGTGCGGAAGCTAGAGGGCTACTCACAGGAGCTGGGTATTTCTGCTACACAGCTTTCAGTGGTTAACTGGGGATGTGAGCGGTGGCAGGCGACTTCTCCTGCTAAAGCACCTCATGATTCTTATGTACTTTTGATCTGTGTGCACCTCTGTGGAGGCCAAAAAGCTAATGCTGATGCCTTCCATCTTTTATTTTTCAAAACCTGTATGGGTATTGCCTACATGTGTGTTTGTATACATGTGCCCAGTGTCCGCAGGGATTGCCTGGGGCTGGAGTTTCAGGTGGCTGTGAGCTACCACGTGAATGCTGACAATCAACTTTAGTTATCAGGTGGCTGTGAGCTACCACGTGAATGCTGACAATCAACTTTTGTTATCTAGAAGAGCAGCAAGTGGTTTCAACACCAAACCATCTCCCTAGCTCTGCATTTTAAAATTTATACCTCATTATTTCTGTCTGTGCATCTAACCATGTGCGTGAATGTGCTATGGAGCACACATGGTAGTCAAGAACACTTAGGAGTTCTCTCCGTCTACTGTGGAGTTTGGGCATCAAGTTCAGGCTTGTTAGGGAAGTGCTTCACCGTATCATCTCCTCATTTTTGTGCGGCTGTGCTCAGGCTGCAATGCATCTGAAAGGTCAGGATAACTCCTGGAGGAGTTGCTTCACTCTTTTCTCCACAGGGATCCTGTAAAAGTAACTTTTATTTGCCTGAAATAATTGTCCTCTCCTGGCTTACTGCCTTCATCTGCTAACCTAGGTCTAGCCTTGGAAGCCTCTAGCTTCTATACACTTTAATCTAGGCTCTGAGACTTGATGCTGAACGAGCTGACTTTCTGAACTCTGGCTTGATGGGTTTTTTTTTTTAAGATTTATTATATATGAATACACGGTAGCTGTCTTCAGACACACCAGAAGAGGGCATCAGATCTCATTACAGATGGTTGTGAGCCACCATGTGGTTGCTGGGATTTGAACTCAGGACCTCTGGAAGTGCAGTCAGTGCTCTTAACCATTGAGCCATCTCTCCACTGGCTTGATAGTTTAACTTAGCAGTCTTAGCTCAAAACTCCTCTCCAGGCTGACTGATTCAATCCAGCTTCTCCCTGTTTCTTACTGAATTGGTTTCAGACTAACTCTAGCCATCAGTTCTAATCACCTGGCTTCTTTTCATTCGTTCTTCAATCTGTCTCTGTAAAACTCTCTGGGTCAATCTGTCTCCTCCTGTCTTGTGAGAGTTGGACATAGCCTATTCTGTCAAATCTTTCTCTGATTACACACTTTGTCTGCCACTCAATTAGATATCACTTTCAAACATGGGTGTTCCTTCTACAAACTACTTTACCTTGATTGTTTGGAATTAAAGGTGTGCCACAACACAACTAGAAACAGTTTTTTTTTTTTTCAGTAAATAACATAATTTTGGTGTTCATAGTGTGATCAAATATCCTCAAACAGGGTCCCAAGACTGAACTTGCAGCCTTTATCTGATGAGCCACCTCACAGGCCTCACCCCTCCCCGCCCACCCCCCCAGGATTACAAGCTTGGGCTGTTTCATATGCCTGGATTTTTACTTGGGTTCTAAACTCAGGTCCTCATGCTAGTTCAGCATGTTACTTAACTAACTGAGCTATCTCCTCAACCCACAAGTTATCACTTTGAAACCATTCTGGCTCGTGTTCTGAGTGACCAACCTATGATCTGCTGCCCATAACATTAGCATGACAGCAGACAGACTGTAAAATAAAATGTGATGGAGCAGATATGCAAAGCAAACACTGAATCTCAACATAGTTAAGTTTTGTTGATGTATTCTTTCTTCTAAAATTTCAAACAGGCGTCATGTTTTACTCTGTATTTTGCTCTGCTCTTCAAAAACAAACAAACAAACAAACAAACACCCACAAAAAATCAAAACAATAACAAAAACTGGTTCTAGCCGGGCAGTGGTGGTGCACACCTTTAATCCCAGCACTTGGGAGGCAGAGGTAGGCGGATTTCTGAGTTTGAGGCCAGCCTGGTCTACAGAGTGAGTTCCAGGACAGCCCGGGCTATACAGAGAAACCCTGTCTTGAAAAACAAACAAACAAATAAACAACAACAAAAAAACTGGTTCTAGCTTGGTTACTATATATAGTAATGACAGCATCTTTCATTATAAAACTTAAATCTTGGGGCTGGTGAGATGGCTCAGTGGTTAAGAGCACTGACTGCTCTTCTAGAGGTCATGAGTTCAAATCCCAGCAACCACATGGTGGCTCACAACCATCCACAATGATATCTGATGCTCTCTTATGGGGTGTTTGAAGACAGCTACAGTGTACTTACATGTAATGAAAAATAAATAAATAAATAGATAAATAAAACCTTAAAAAAAACTTAAATCTTTACTAATTTCAGCTTTAAAATGCCTTAGCAAAAAACAAACAAACAAACAAACAAACAAACAAACAATCTGAAATTCCCGAAATTAAGTTACCTGAAGGACAGCAAGGGTTTGGAATGATCTAGTTCAGATCTGTCCACATGTATTCCCAGTGTGGAGTCTAGGCGGTAGTAATTCAGGATGCCGGCTTCTGCTCGGAAATCCTGAAATCCACAGGCAGTGGCGACTTGCTCTGAGAGGAAAGCCAGGTCAGAAGGGAAAGGTGTATAATGATCTGCTGAGTATTTCTTTGGTAAAAGTAGAGAAAATAGGAAAAATAAACAAAGATCTCAAAACATAGGAAATCGCCGAATAAAATCCTTTGCCTAACTACCATTCACACAGGTGCCTACCAATCTCCCCATCCCATTCTTTCTTGAGATAAGTTCTTGCAAAGCAGCCCTGGCTAGCTGGAACCTGCTATACACACTAGGCCAGTCTTCAACTTGTAGTGATCCTTCTGACTTTGCCTTAGGTGCTGGGAAACAAGTGTGTGCCCTGATGCTTGGCTGGGTATCTCCCGAGCCGTGAGGCAACACAGACATCTTATAAACCATTCACTATACTGAGCACCCACCATGCAAGGCAGTGGTAAGTCTCACAAATTGATGCTTTTTGGCGTATATACAGAAGTAACTTCTCTACCACCCTAGCATATCAGAATCCTAAGTAGGATAGTTCCCTTAAGTTAAAGGTAACTCAGGACTGTCAGGACCAAGAGAGCCTAAGGAACAAGATGATTAATACCAAGAGAGCCTAAGGAACAAGATGATTAATGTAAAACTGCACTATGAATGAGACACTGAGGAAATCTGAAAGAACTATCCCCTTCACTATTACTGTGGATCACTGAGACAAAGACAAAGACACTTTACTGGTGAAAGATGTCAGAAATAATTGGGCGTAGCATCCTGTACTATCATCTCAAATTTTTGTATATGTGAACATTTGTGCTAACATATTAATTATAATGTGGTTTATTGTGACACTTCCAGAAATACACACACACACAGTGTTTTTTTTTTTTTTAGGCACAGCCACGCCTTAAACCCCCTTGTTTGACTTCCTTGCCCCTTCCCTCTTCTACTCTCTTCTTCCCACTACTCTTACTTTTTTGGTGATCCAGTGAGGTTTCAGCAGCATTACGTATAGCAACACGGGTACTTTACCAGTGGCTACTACTGAAGAAAATCTCTTCCTTCCCCAGCAAGCATATAGTTTCACAGGGAGAGGTGGGGTTCTGTGAGGCCCTTCTCCCAAGATTATTATTAAATACTATTAAACATTTTTTTTTTTTTTGAGACAGGGTTTCTCTGTGTAGCCCCGGCTGTCCTAGAACTCAGAAATCCTCCTGCCTCTGCCTCCTGCCTCCCAAGTGCCAGGACTAAAGGCATGCACCACCACTGCCCAGTGTCTATTAAACACTTTAACATTTATTAAAACACTATAGCCAGCTTGTAACCTGGCTTGATGCCCATTTACTTGGGCAATCTGCTAAAATGATATGCTCAAAACATCTGGATTAAGTCTGACTTAAATCATGGCCTAGGTAGGATCTTAAATTGGAAATCTTTTTTCAGTCATTTATCTCCTTAACCTGCTTCTGTTTCTCTTAATCCTCACCCCTCAGCCACTGAATATAGTCCTCAAGAATGACAAATCTGTCACTAAGAGTTGAAACTTTCTGGACTGTGCGAATCTATAGGTTGGATGCTCCTTCACTCTCATTTCTTCCTGTGCTAAATTAAACTAAAATCTTATAACAGAAAACACAGTTTGTCTTACAACTCCACTAGTATTCTGGTGCAGTCTAGTTAGAGCAAGTCACAAAATTATCAAGAGTGGAATCAATTGAAAAAAATGCTTTTCTTTGGATGTCTTTTCCTCTTCAGCTGGAACTTCTGTCTCTCTTCTTCCTTTTTTTTTTTTTTTTTTATGAGACAGGGTTTCTCTGTGTAACAGCCCTGGCTGATCTGGAACACATTCTGTAGACCAGGCTGGCCTCGAACTCAGATCTGCCTGCTCCTGCCTCCTGAGTGTTGGGATTAAAGGTGTGTGCCGTTCTTAAAATTGAAGGTTGTTGTTAGAGACATTAAGAGTCCTATATTATTTTGAGCTTCAGTCCTTTAGACAATTAATCAAGGCTGCTGTCAAATCTTGCCCCACCCTCCCATCCTTCAGCCACATCCACTGTCTACACACTGTTCTTTTTATTGCCTACTGTTTTTTTTGAAAAATCTTTTTTTTTTTTTTTGTTTTTTGAACAGGGTTTCTGTGCATCATATGTGTGTACTTACTGCCCAGAAGAGAGCATCAGACTCCTTGGTGGATATGAGCTACCACATGAGTGCTGGAAATTGAAGCTAGGTCCTCTGTAAGAACAACAGATGTTCTTAACCATTGAGCCATCTCTCTATCTCCTAATTTTTTGAGAAGGATCTTGTTATTACATAGACCACATTGGACTTGAACTAGTGCACCTCCTGTCTCAGCCTCCTGAGGTTAGAGATCTGTGCTTCCGCTATCATTTTCCAAGGGAGAAGTAAAGGAGGCAACAATCATAGTCCCTCCTTTAAATGGTTAATTCATCCTCTTGACAGTCTTTGCTATGGCCATGGTATTTCATGTTTGTTCAGGAACAAATCCAACCACGTAGGCCCAAGAACCTATAAATGTATAACCAAGGAATAAAGCAAATACCTTACTGTCCCAGTTATAATGGTAGCCCAGGGTGACCCAGCGCAGTCTCTCTAGTAAACTTCGGGGTCTCCGCTTATTCACTCCTTTAGACCTGCAAAGATTGTAACCAAGAGAACGTAATCATCTTAAATGGTAGCAAGTCCTCTCTATGAACTCAAGTCTGTGCATTTATAGCCTAAGCTGTTTGCTAAGGCTGGATAAGAAGGCTTACAGTAAGAGAATGAACACTGGAATTGAGATTTTTATTTATTTTTGAGTCAGAGTCTATATATACTATGTAGTCCTGGCTAGACTAGCACTCATTAGGTTCATTAGGTAGACAAAGATGGCTTCAAATTCAAACAACCTGCCCGCCTTTGTCCCTTGAGTTTTGGTATTTACAGTGTACATCACTGTTCCTAGCTTAACAGAAGTACTAGATCTAACCTAACTTCAAATCTTTATCCAATTACCGACAGCTCTGCTCTCTGGCCTCAATGCTTCCTCCAGGCGTTAGCAGGATGCATGGGTGGACCTGCCGCCCTCTCCCCCGGTCAATGTGTTCCCACAGCAGCTTGCTGTTTCTGTCATGGCTAAGTGCTTTATGTAAGTGTAGGCATTTTTCTTGGCAACCACGTTATAACATTGCTTTCAAGAGAACCCTAACTAGCTGTATGGAAATGAACTGGATAGCTGTCCGCTCTGCAGTGGGCAGTCTGGGTTACATAAGCAAGCATTGTATTTTTTTCTTTTTCTTTTTTTTTTTGTCTACAAAAAATAGCTGTGTGGCAGTGGTGGTGGCACACACTTTTAATCCCAGCACTAAGGGGGCAGGGGCAGACAGATCTGAGTTCGAGGCCAGTTTGGTTTACAGAGTAAGTTTCAGGATAGCCAGGGTTACACAGAGAAACTTCATCTCAAAGAACCAAACCATAAGCCTCATCATGCATGTTAGCCAAGTACTCTGTCATTGAGCTCACCCACTCTAAAATCCCAGGATTTCCTGATAGCAGTCCCACTGTTACTCATGGTGGGCCCTTGCATCACACCTGGGTTTGTGCTAAGGAGTGAAGATTCACGATGTTGGCTGGTAATTCCACAAAAGCCAACAGTGTGATTAGAGGGGTGAGGTTTAATGTTAAGTGGTAGTTGGATATCAGAATAGGTGTGGCCATAAGCACGTGGCTAACGACTTGCATATATCCACGTGTAAGTATGTGTGTGTGGATAAGCATGACCTTAGAGGCCAGAGGTCAACTTGGGTGTCATTTTCAAGGTGTTTGTCTATCTTGCGTTTACCTAACAGGGGTATCCTGATTAGATCAGCAAGTAAGCCCCAGGGATCTGTCTTTCTCTATTTTCAGAGATTACAAGTAAGTGCCACCATGCAGTTTTTTGTTGTTTTAATGTGGATAGGTTGAATTCAGATCCTTAAGCTTGTGTGACAAACATTTTACCAACTAAGTTATCTTCCCAGTCTTTATCACAGCAAGGCTATGCCTGTCTCCCCCCCACCCCCCAACTAAAACAAAATAAATCACACGGGTTCTGAGGAACTGAACCGAGGTCCACGTTCTAATAAGGAAAAACTTTCCTCTTGGAGTCACCTCCCAAGCTGAAATGACTAATGGTTTAATCAGTACTGACTATTCAACTAAGTGCTAAAAAAATCATGGCCACTAGAATTTGGAACTCACTGCTGGTTTATCAACCAACACGTAGGGTACTATGTCCTGACTTGATATTGAAGGGCACCCACACAGTGTTTTCCTGAGTTAGGGCCTTTTTCTAGTGAATTACTAAACATGAAGGGGTCATGAAATGCCCCCAAAGCTATCATCAGTGGTCACAAGTACAAGTAGCCTAGAAAGTCCTCAAATCTGATGTCTGAAGTAAAGAGCCTGTGCTAACTTTGGGCAGCTTCACCAGAACCAAACTATAGATGAGAAGCCTTGATAAAAATGACACGGCTTCTTCATTCTGTGTAGAAAGCAGTTTGAAGGGGGGCAAAAGCAGATGGCTGTGAGGCCTCAATGGCATTCTGTAGAACACACAGGAATGATAGTGACTTGAGGTAGGGATAAGGACAGCGAGGAATGATAGTTTAATCGGACTCTAATGCCTAGATGACTTTGTTTGCTTTTTTGTTTTTGTTTTTTTTTTGATTGGTTTTTCGAGACAGGGTTTCTCTGTGTAGCCCTGGCTGTCCTGGAACTCACTCTGTAGACCAGGCTGGCCTCGAGCTCAGAAATCCGCCTGCCTCTGCCTCCCAGGTGCTGGGATTAAAGGCATGCGCCACCACTGCCTGGATGACGACCGAACACAGGGCCTAGACAAATACAGCTATATTACTGAATCCCAATTGTGCTTTGAATAAGACTCTAGCTATATATTGTACCCCCGAAAAAGCCAGAGTTCTACGGCTATTTGAAAAGGAAGTAAAGATGTAGAACATGAATGTTCCAGAAAAAAAAAAAAAAAAACTTCAGAATGTTTTCATTTTGAGCTATGCTTTTTTTTTTCTACTGTACCTGTGACTTCCAGGAAGCATTTCCTGTAAATTATTCTAACCTTGCCACACGAGTGACCATTCTCATGATAATATATAAACTCTACAGTGGATTCTGCCAATGAATCTATTTAAATGTCTTTATTTCTTCACATTTTTACAAAAATCACAGAAGGCAAGAACTGGTCTTTTTTGTATTCCTTTTTTAGAACTGAGATAAACACACAGGTTAAACACCACCACTCTGCAGCATGAAAACTGTAAGAGGATAGAAGCAGAATGTTGGAGTACTGCAATTCACCCAGCTACTGATTAAGCTGGTTAGAACTTGCATGAACTCCAATTACTCTTGCATACGCTGTCCCCCTTGCTTGCCCACAGGCAGAGTCAAGCAAGGTCTACGGATATGCCTAGCAGATGTTTCCCATCTTCTTTTGAATCTCGAACACTCTGAAGTACATACCTTACAGAACATACTATCTCAAATACCACACCTCTGCTCAGGTTGATTAATACCCCTAACCAGATTGTCTACTGTCCTGAATGGCAAATCCCTAGTCATTTTTGAAGAATAGTTGAAATGGTCAGCGAAAGAGAAAAAAAAATAGATACACTTATAAAAAACTGTATTAAAATGTAATTTCTTTTGGATACCTTCACCCTGTTTGGAAGAATTATTTCCTGTGTTCCCTAAGTTCCTAACTGCCATTACAACATTTTTTCAGCTCCATTGTAATTACTTTCATAGATAATTCCTTTGAAAGGCCATTCAATAAGAAGAGTGTTCATATCCTATTAATTAAGTCTTGTGTCTCCAATGCCTGGTACCCAACTGATTTTTCCAATGAGTATTTGTGGAATGAATGCTGAAACACCAAGATCCAAACACCAGTTCTTCCATGCGCAACAACTGACTCATCATCACAAAAGAGCTAGCAGGAGCAACAACATGTAAAATACAAGTGCTATCAGCAACGGTTCTTTCTATGAGTATTTAAAGGAACACACTTTATAAAAATGTATGAAGTAGAATAAAAAAATCATGTGATCGTGAATGTGGATGAACTCAGTTCCTACACTATGATAAAAATCTTCAAACTGAATCTCAGTTTAATATAACTGTCAAAGCATCTGACCAAATGTTCTTGGGGGAAAAGAACAGTGCTGTGTAGAAATGAGGGGTGGGGGAACCAAACAAAACTCAACACAATCACATACCTTAGGAACTCTTTGCTCTGCTCCCACAGCCCTTGGGTCTCTTCTTTAGTCACGTGCTTGTCCAGGTTACACACATTAGGTTTCTGGGAGTACAACTTGAGGCACTGTTTCACCCAGTGCCACTGGCATCCCGGAAGGAAGGGATTTGGAATAAAAATAAATCCTATAAAAGACAAAAGATGGGGTGTGAGTGCTGAAGTTGTTCTGGTTTCTTTTTTCATTCTTATGCCCACTACTGTGTCATTTACTTCCATATCCTTGCTATTTCAAGTTAATGAAAAAACAACTTCTGATGAACATGAGACACTTTGTAAATATCTGACTTTGGGGGACATCCTCAAGAGGAATAAAGAAGAAACAAGGTTAGTTGTCAATGGTGCTATCCTCAATAACTTTACAACTAAAAATCTAAGTTCACCCTTAGATTTTCACCCAGTACCCATAAATCACAAGACTCCTCCACGTCTATGTTTCACTTAGTACAGACATGGAAGGCTACCTCCAATACTGGATTTAACTAACCATACATCATCCAGTAAATGGAACACGAGTTATTAGTCTATTTTGTTTCTCAGTGTCAAATCCACCTTTCTTGAACATACAAATACCTGTAACTCTTAATTTCAGAACATCTTGACACCATCTTCCCGCTTTGACCAACACTGTATACATATCATGCACAGAATAAGTGCAGGCAAAACCAGACATTCACACATAAGAAAATACTATTCTAACATTTCCAAACATTAGATTAAAATATGTCTGATCCAGGGCACACTTTCAAAGTGACTTGAATTTAATGCCTCTCTAGGCAGTCAAGTTCGGATTAAGTCCATTTCTTTTTCTTGTGGGTGTTTAAAAAAAAAAAAAAAAGAGATAGATTCTCACTACGTTGCTCTGGATATCCTGAAATTTGGTATGCTTCATCAGGCTGGTCTCAAAGTCACAGGTCTGTGTGTCTCTGCCTCCCAAGTGGTGGGTTGAAATCTATGCATCACTCCGCCTGGCTTTTCTTTTTTGTAAGGGTAACTGAACCAAGATCCTGTGCATGTTACTGAGCTATAACTCTAAGCTTCTTATTAAAAATCTGCTTTTCTTTAACTTGCATTGTTTAGGGGTTCTGACTCCTACAATTCCAAATCAGTTGTTTTTGTTTTTAGAGATATGATCTAGTGATTGTAGGTGAACTGGTATGTCCCATCCCTCACTCTGCCCCTTTGAAGTTGGTCTTGTTGCAGTGATCCCCACGGCTTCAACATTTTGAGTTAGTTTTGGGATTACAGGCAAGCACTAACACACTTGCTCCAAAACAGCTTTTCATTTTTTAAAATCCATTTAATTACATCCCAAATGCTGCCCCCCATCCAATCCTTCCCTCACAGATTCGTTTTTCTTACCTACATTTTGTTACCTGAACACCTACAGCTTATGATCGACATTTATTGACAACTTAGTACACTTCATGTACTGATTGACGTACTTTACACGTATATTCAAACTAAACCACCATAATATTTTACTATCTTTATTTTAACCACACATGTATGCATGTTTCCAGCAGTGGAGTCACAGCTAGTTTTAAGCTGTGAGCTGAACTTAGGGTCTCTGAGGAATAATATGCACTCTTAACTACTGAGCTATCTCTCTAGTCCCCAAACTTCATTCTAATCCTATGGCAAGCTCTGTTTTTATATACATTTTATGATTGAAGAAATTAAAGACAAGGGGAATGAAGAGATTTGCCCTGTATCAGTTAGCACACAGAAGAGCTAGGTATGAGGCCAGATAAGTGGGATCCAGAACCTCTGTCTTAGCCACCACTCCACTGAGTCTCATCCTTTGTGTATAACCTACTTTCACATTCCCCATCCAAGCCTTTCCTTCTTCGGACCCACTTTCCTCCTGCTTACTCCAGTAAAGACAGGTACACACAAGTTCCTTCAGAATTAGTAGGATCCAGAAGAAAATCCTCTGATCACCCTGAAAGGAGTCTCCCCCTTTGCATATTATACTTGTACTAAATGCAGCTTACAAAGGCTGTGAGAGCCAGACATAGTGAAGTACCAGCCCAAGCGATACAGCTCAAGTATGAATTCCTGCAAAACCGACATCACTCAGATGAGACAGAACCAAAGTGGGCCTGATAACTGTGTCCTCCAATCTATATGGCAAGAAGGCCCAGACCAACAGACAATTGCAGCTTTGAAAATAAGAGTTAGAAGAAGTTTAAGAGCAGTCCACAGGGATTGGAGAGATAGGCCTGCAATTTTGTGAACATACATACAAGTAGATAAAAAGTCATATGCAGAAAATAAATACATCTTGGGGTTGGAGAACTGGCTTAGCAGTGAAGAGCATATACTGTTCTTGCAGAACTGTAGGGTTTGATTCCCAGTACCCATGTCAGGTGGCTCATTTGTTGGTAACTCCAGCTCCAGTGATCTGATATATTCTTCTCTCATTTAAGGGCAAAGGCACACATGTGCATGTATCCCTTCTCCATCCCATATAAAATGAAAAATGTTCTCAACTTAGACCAGACATATGGCCCAGAAGTTAAGAGCACTCACCGCCCTTCCAGAGGACAGTTTTTGTTCCAAACACCAACATGGCAGCTCATAACTATCTAACTCTTCAGTCAGGGGATGTGATAAGCTCTTCTGACTCTCAAAGTACCAGAAATACATGCAAGTAAAACACTCATACAGCCGGGCAGTGGTGGCGCACACCTTTGATCCCAGCACTTGGGAGGCAGAGGCAGGCGGATTTCTGAGGTCGAGGCCAGCCTGGTCTACAGAGTGAGTTCCGGGACAGCCAGGACTACACAGAGAAATCCTGTCTCGAAAAACCACCCCCCCCCCCCAACAAAAAAAAAAACACCAAACCAAACCAAACAAACCACTCATACAATAAGAAACAAATGTACCTTTCACAAAAACAAAAACAATTCTAAATTATTCAGTCTATTATTCTATCCCTTAAAATTCTGGCAGACTTGAGGTGCACAGTTAAGGCAGAGTTTAGAGTCTGTCTTTACTTTTTTTCATTTAATTTGCTATGACACTTCTGAGTTTCCTTAGTCTTTGGTAACATTAAACAGACTCTTCAGAGAAGGCATAAATAGAACAGGTTCCAGGGTGGGGCATTAATGTGTTTTAGGTATGCTCTTTATCTATTCATAGCTCTTCCTACGAAATCAGAATGACTGAATACTTTCACTTTCCCTCAGGCACACTTACCGGGATAGCCTTCGAGTCCATAGGCCTGCCACTTGCTCACAGGCTGAAGTCCTACCCTACAGGTATCATGCTCAGTCACTGAGGACACATTCAGAGGGAATCTGACCACCTGGAAGGAGACAGACCTAAGTCAGAGGGCAAGTTATCTTAGAGGTCAACCCTGAGAACCCGAGAGCTCAAAGGACATTTAATACTAGCTCCCCCATCAACTTGACCTATGGCCCATTTCTGCATCTGTAGTCTAACATATTATTTTCTGATAAATTAAACTAAGTGGTAATAGGACAATTAAGCTAGGCTGGTTTTGGCTTTATTTTTAAGACAGATTTATTTTATGTGTATGAGTCATTTGCCTGCATGTTGTGTACCATGTACATGCCTGGTGCCTGTGGAGGTGAGAAGGAATTGCATTCATTCTCTGGCATTGGGTTATGAGCTGCTATGTAGGGACTGGGAACTGAACTCAGGTCCTTTAGAAGAGTGGTGAGTGCTCTTACTGCTGAGCCATCTCTCCAGCCCCTAATTTTGATTTTCAAGATAACCTTTTCCTACAAAAACACACTTTTGTTAATTTAAGAGGATTCACAAAAAGCATTTGCAAGTGTAATCTCTCTCAGGTCACAATGCTATTTGGTCTGGTTAGTGCAAAACATGGCTTCTAAAGCACTTTATTGTAGTCAGCAATAAAAAAATATCAAGTAGGAGTAGGCTGAAAAAATAGAGTATGCTAGCCACAAAATTATTTCCATAAAACACCAGGGTTCCATTGCTGACACTGCTACCCTTTGATGAAATACTGTTAGAACTTTGCTTTTATTATTAAAAAAGTAAATTATTAGGAGCTCATGAAGTTTTCTTTGCACATAAGGGCATCTTATAGATGAGTCATTACATTGGATGAGATCCAGCAGGTAGCCAGGTGTCTTGACACACACACCTTTAACCCCAGTACCTGGGAAGTTGTGATTTTGAGGCGAGCAGGGTCTACAAATCAGTTCCAGGACAACAGCTAGGGATACAAAAAGACTGTATCTCAAAAAATCAAACCAAAACAAAAAAAAAAAATCAAGAAACAAACAACAAAAAAAAACAAACCAAAACAAAAAAAACCCCCAACCAAACCAAAACACCCCAAACCAAACAACCACCACCCCAAACCTAAACAAACAAAAAGAAGAAACCAGTTCACTTTTCCATGAATATTAGAAGTGGCTGGCTTTAAAATGCCTCTGTTTCTAAAGATAAATGAGCTTCTTTTTTTGTTGTTGCTGATGGTTTTTGGAGATGAATCTCTTACTATATAGTCCTGGGTGTTCAGGAACTCAGAGTTCCACCTGCCTTTGTCTGTCTTCAAGTCCTGGATTTAAAGGTGTGTGTCACATGCCTGGCTTGAGAAATGAGCTTCTGTTTCAATCTCCAAGGATGGAAATTTCCTGACAAAATACAAATGACTGGTGTATAAACAGCAATCAAACAATAACAAGATAAAAAATCCTTTCCCTTTGTCACCGGGAAATCAATTTCAGTGCCCTAAACACGCTAGGCAAACACTCCACCACAGAGCTACAGGCCAGGTCCATCGGTCTTTATAATAAAATGGCTATCTGAAACTTTCTGACAGTCTTGATCAGCTGAAGTTTTCTAGCTACTTACCCACTGGCAAAATATTTGGTCTTGAGTTCTTAAATAGGCCACACTTGATACTGCACTCTAATTCAGAAACATCCTCAAACCTTAAGATTTACAAACTTACTCTATATGCTAAAGGAACCAAGTCATTGAGCTTTTAGAGAGAAAAAAAAAAATGTCCTCTTTCTGATTTTTCTCTTGCCAGACTGGCAGCCATTTTTAACTCCACTGCTCTAACCTGGTGTTGAGACAACAGCTTCTCTAAAATGCTACCTTTAACCTGCGGAGATGGTGAAATTGACAAGCCAAACTTTCATTTAATCAACATGTACTGTATTTTGAGCACTGTGCAACAAAAGAGAGGCTTCTGGGAGGTGTGAGCATGTGCATGGTGGCAGAATGGAGATAAAGGGAGCCGAATCCCAAGGGCTCTTCACAGTCCAATGCTAATCTCTCTCTCTCTCTCTCTCTTTTTTTTTTTTTGGTTTTTCAAGACAAGGTTTCTCTTTATAGTCCGGGCTGTCCTGGAACTCACTCTGTAGACCAGGCTGTCCTTGAACTCAGAAATCCGCCTGCCTCTGCCTCCCAAGTGCCGGGATTAAAGGTGTGCGCCACCACCGCCTGGCTCCCAATGCTAATCTCAGGGCACACACTTTCCACATGTAATTCAGATGACTCTAAAACCATATCTGTTAACAAAATTTCTGAAAGGTGGAGTTCTGGACTCCAATTTTACTTACTTCTGTGCTACTTAACAATTTCTGATGTGAACATCCCTGCACAGTAAATACCAAAGCCAAATAAGAGGTTACACATTTTCCCTCTTAAGTGACTACAAAAACATCCTGGCACGGTGGTTCAGTTAGCTGCCAGCCTAGTCTCCCAAATGAGACTCTATCTCAACAAGATGAAGTTTTAAAAAATATGACAAGGGCCAGGCGGTGGTGGCACACACCTTTATTCCAGCATTCAGGAGGCAGAGGCAAGGAGGATCTCTGTGAGTTTCAGGCTAGCCTGGTCTACAGAGTGAGTTCCTCCAGAACAGTCAGGGATACACAGAAACCCTGTCTTGAAAAACTGAAGGAAAAGAAACAAAAGCAAGCTGGGCAGTATTGGTGCACGCCTTTAATCCCAGCACTTGGGAGGCAGAGGCAGGCGGATTTCTGAGTTCGAGGCCAGTCTGGTCTACAGAGTGAGTTCCAGGACAGCCAGGGCTACACAGAGAAATCCTGTCTCAGGAAAAAAAAAACAAACTGTAAGTAAATAAAAACTTAAATGTGACCATGGAAAATAAACACACACCACTACAGCCACGATTTACCCTCTGCCCTCTTCCTTCTCATTATGTTCTCTTTACGCAGAAATAAGTACGGGTATATAGGTTTAGATTTAGCTTAGAAATTTATTTACTTATATGTGTATGACTGTTTTGCCTGTGGAGCTCAGGAGAAGGAGACGGCAGTAAGCTGCCACGTGGATGCTAGGAATCGAACCCAAAGTCTCTGGAACACCAGTTAAGTAAGTGCTCTTAACTACGGAGCCATCTCTCCAGGCTCCTAGATTCTTGGGGAAAAAAAACCTGCTAATTTTACCTTTACTTTTACCTCTTTTCTAAGTCTCAGAGAAGACAGGGTCGAGTTTGAGGCCCAACGGATTAACTAACAGTCTGAGACTTATTAAATGGCTGGTTTTATTCGAAGCTATGGGGCCACCCTAACGTTCACGAAGATGTTCTTCTAGGCGTTATACAAAATAACGCATTAGTATTAAGCGGACAGTTAAAAAAAGTACGCGCAATTTCCAGATTTTTTTTTTTTCCTTTTTGGAGCAAGGTCGCGTGGGTTGGGGGTAAGATGGCGGCAGGAAGCAAGCTGAGGCCCAGAGCCGAGCCAGCCGGTCGCTCATCGCTCGGCAGTACAACTCTTGGAACAGGCCCACCAGGGGCTTCCCTCCAAAATCGGTCCGGAGGCGGACACGTCTCGGGGGGCCCAGCAGGTCGCTAAGCGTGCCGAGCAGCGCACACTACTCCTCCCTTCGTACCTTGGGCACGCCGGACTTTGGGCTCCGAGCCACATGCGCCTCTGAGAAGTCGATGACCGCTCCCAGGTCCGCTGTCCCCGGCCGGCTCTGCCGGTAGAAACGGAAAAGCTTCCGGAAAGCATCCTCTCTGGGTTCTGTCGCCAGCGTGGCTAATGAAGCCACCGCAGCCGCCATCTTCCCCATCTCGTTGCTGCGAACAGTTTGGCCCGGAAGCAGAACTCCAAATTCCGGATCCGGCAAGTTCTTCCTGGGTCACGATCCCAGGTTGTGATACGTTCAGTCTTATCATGGCAGCCTCCGCTGTAAAGGGGCTAACCGCATTGCGTTCCAGTACTGGTCGGCGTATTGCGTTTGTCAGAAAAATTCCTTGGACCGCGGGATCGAGTGAGTGATGGAGATGAGGAAGGGCGCAATCTTTATGCTTTACGTAACGCGTAAAACCTATGTATAAACTCACAAAACATAACTTCTCTGTAGAGAACCTAAGTCAACTTGGTCGATGGGTTAGGTCAGGCGGTTTGCTTTTTTATTTTTTTATTTTTATTTTAAGGAGCGCTTTCATGAATTTGCCTGTCATCCTTGCGCAGGGACCCAAGCTGATACTCTTTTGAAAAGAACACATGCCGTTTGCTCTTGAGTAAACTCTTGCGCAAAAAATTTTGCTTCCGGTTAACTGCTTAAGCATGATCCCACTCCCCCGAGCTTTTAGGTTGAGAATCGACAGTACTCAGCGATTCGGAATGATTTGGTGGAAAGATTTGTTATTTACTTACTTGGACATTCACGAGTCAGAAGGAGCTATTTTGACCTCAGGGGAGCTTGGTTTTAAAGTGGCAAGAACATAGGGGTGGAGATGAGAGAAAAGATTTCTTTTGGTTCAAAGATGAAATTTGGACCAAGGAACTGATAAAGGGGAGGGGTCGGAATCACTTAGTTTTTGATGTAAAATCGACAGCATTCTTACTGGTTTGAGGAGAAAGGTGTATATTCCAGATTCCTAGCATAGATGACCTGCGGTTTTAGAATTTAGGAAGAACAAACCGAGAGAAGATGAAGAGTAAAAGTTGCAGTATGTGAATTTGAGCTGCTTGCGGGGTCTCTGGACAGCATTTGGACAGAGGTTGTAGCTTGTGATGGAAAAGTGGATTCTCAAGCTCAGAATGCCTGGGTTAGAATTCCAAACTAGTAATTTTAATAGTTCTATAATCCGAATAACTGAGGTCAATATCGGAAAGGGTCTCATAGGAGAACCTATTAAATTTTCTAAAAAGTGGGCTGGAGAGATGGCTCATCGGTTAAGAGCACTGACTGCACTTCCAGAGGTCCTGAGTTCAAATCCCAGCAACCACATGGTGGCTCACAACCATCCGTAATAAGATTCAATGCCCTCTTCTGGTGTGTCTGAAGACAGCTACAGTGTACTCATAAATAAAATAAATAAATCTTTAAAAAAAAATTTTCTAAAAAGTGAAGTCAGTAATACTTCTCCCATAGAATTGGGGAGAGGAATAAATGACTTTATAGGTAAACTTGGTAGATTTATGCTAGAATGTAAGTACTTAACAAGTGATAGTGGTTCTGCTTGCATGGTTGTTAAAATTGATGCACAGAAAAGACTAGTCTGGTGATAGAGAATTGGTTAGTCCTAAAATGACTTACCATTTTTGCTTTTGTCAACTGCAATTCAAAGTATTCATATATATATATGTATATTTGTCAGTGTGGGTATGTGCAGGTGAATGAAGGTGTCCCATGTAGTACAGAAGAGGACATTGCATCCACAGAAACTGGAATTACAGGCAGTTTGAGCTCTCCCGTTGTGCATCCTTAGAACTGAGAATGGGTCCTCTGTAAGAGCAGTATGTACTCTTAATCGCTGAACCGTCTCTCCAACCTTTACTTGTTTATTTTAAGCAAGATCTCATAGTAGGTGAGTCACTATGCCGTGTTAAATTCAGAGTTTTAAATTTGCTCATCAAAACTTAAAATCCAAGAGCATGGTTAGTAGTTATTAATGTGTAGATGAGCCCCTTTAAAAGTATAGAATCTAGTGGTTTCTTAGTTGTTGTGGCTCAGATGTGGTTATATGATTGGAAATGGGATCTGTGTCCCTTCTTATTGAATGCCAAATCAACGATAGTGTTCTCCCTTACATTCTGTTAAGCTTTGCAGAGAGCCTGAGGACTTTCACCACCACCTAGTAGGTTCAAGTTTCCATTCAACCAGAGTTGATTTGAAACCTTTCAAACTCCTTAAGATTGCAACTTTGAAACAGTTTGGCTTTTTTTTCCAGTTGATCCTTTCATTTAGCAAACACTTACATGGTATCTAGGCTTTGCTTTTAGTATCTACAGCACACTGTCCTGAAGTGATTTGGTAAGAAGCTTACCTTCTAGAAGAGATTTCTTTAGTGTGCTGGTTTTCTGTTGCCCTGACAGACTATCTGACATAAACAGTTTAAAGGAAGAAACATTTTTAGTCTGTCTTTCCGTCCAGTTTTACCCAGGCTTGTTTGGATTTGTCTTGGCATAGTATATCATAATGGTGGCAGAAGGTGGAGGAAGGCTGTGTACTTTAAGAGAGAATGAGTAGGAGTGAGGGGCCCCAGTGTTCTTCATGGGCAGGCTCCTCCCACTGCTATAACATCCTTCCAGTAACTGGGCCCTATATCCTAAAAGGTTCCCACCTCCAATAGCACCATAGGCTGCTAACCAAACCTTTAGCATAGGGGCCAATGAGGAATATGAATGATCCAAACTATAAGATTGGAAATGTTTTCTAGAATGTTTACTGTCTGTCTTTTTTTTTTTTTTTGAGGCTTTTTTTTGAGGCTTTTTTTAAATGTTTTTTAAATTTACACTACCATTTTTTTAAAAAAGTTTTAAAAAGTTAAAAAAATGTTTACTTATTTATTTTATACATATGTGTGTATATATGTATATACATACACTATGTGAATAGTATATATATATACATATACATACATATATATGTATGTATACACACACACACACACACACACACACACACACACACACACATATATATATATAAGCTGTCTTCAGACACACCAGAAGAGGGCATCGGATCCCATTACAGATGGTTGTGAGCCACCATGTGGTTGCTGGGAATTGAACTTAGGACCTCTGGAAGAGCAGTCAGTGCTCTTAACCACTGAGCCATCTCTCTAGCCCTACTGTCTGGTTTTAACATATATGTTTGTTGCTGTTTTGTCTAATCTCCAGTTACTATGTTCTCTGAGGCCCTGATCTTGCTAATCTTTAGGGGCTTTCAGAAATTTAGCCTCTGATTCTTGAAGGATTATTTGGTGTTTAATCATTTATTCACCCATGATTGAAAAGCTTTATTGTACAACATTCTATTAGCATGGAGTTCCTTCTTTAGCCTGTAGTGTAGTGGTGGGATGGAGACTCATAAACAAGAAGTACAGACAGTTGGACCAGTGATGCTTAGATTAACTTGGAACTGTTTTACTTTCTGTTGCTGTGATGAGATGCTGTAACTAAGGCAACTTAAAGGAGGAGTTTATTGGGGGCATCATGGTGGGGAGCATGACGGCAGGCAGGCAGGCAGGCAGGCAGGCATCACACTGGAATACTAGCCAAGAACGGATATCCTGAGACAACCATCAAGAGGGAGAGTGAACAACTGGGAATTATGTGGGCTTTTGAAACTTTAGTGCCAATCCCCAGTGACATACCTCCTCCTGCATGGCCAAACCTTCTAATCTTTCCCAAACAGTTCCACCAACTGTAGACCAAGAATTCAAATACATTCAAACCGTAACAGGGACATAAGTAATATTAAAATGTTAACCTGCAAAGCAGAACCACTGTAGAGAGAAAGGGACCATGTAGCTTTATCTTTAATAAGATCAGGTACTGGAAACCTTTTGAGGTCTCACAGGAAGAGTATTGTATTCTAACTAGTATGAACTCAGTAAGATAATAGTTGATGTATTAGCTTAGTCTGGAAAAAAACAATTTAGGTCAGAGGAGATAAGAGTCCGGACATATGGAAGAGCACCCACACACACACACACACAAATCCACAGGATAGGACAGAGAATTGAGTTTGCTGTACTTAACAGTAAGTAGGCCAGCAATAGGAATAAAACTGGCAGCAGTGGTAAAACTCATCCAAGACCAGTAAGTTGAGATCTTGTTTGGAAATCTCTAATGTATCTGGCAGGACACTGGGCTGTCACAATTTGTGCCTTCTGCTTACAGGGATTGTACTCATACACCCAGTGCAGTCCACAGTTCCTGGTGTAGTGAGATGATCAGTTGAGTATGGAGACTATAGCCAGTTCAGCACATTATCTGTCCATGTTCCCATCCCACCTTCACATCTGGTGCTTTACAGCATCATTCACCTGTGTAGCTGGCTTTGAAGTTCTCAGACTCAGGAAGTGCAAAGTAGTTCTTGTTCATGAGAAGATCAGGAATTCTGGAATCTTTTACAGTTTATTTACAATATTTACTACAGAATGCAGGATACATGAACTTACTTTAATATGCGCACTCTCCCTTCTTACAGGTGAGCTAAGAGAACATTTTGCTCAGTTTGGCCATGTAAGAAGGTGCAGTTTACCTTTTGTGAGTATTAAAACAATAACAAAAAAACCTAGTGGGGGTGCGGTGGGGACATATCCCTGTGGTAGAATGCTTGTCTAGTAGGTATGAGCATCTGTGTTTGATCTCAGACTGAGAGTGCCAGGAGGAAAAAAAAATACCTTTGAATTTTTGATTGTGTGATATTGATTAAAGCATATAATAATCACAGATATTTATTTTAATTAAAATTTGTTCTATCTGGTGGTGGTGGCAGTGGAGGCAGGGGCAATCACCTTTAATCCCATCACTTGGGAGGCAGAGGTAGGTGGATTTCTGAGTTTGAGGCCAGCCTGGTCTACAGAGTGAGTTCCAGGACAGCCCAGGCTACACAGAGAAACCCTGTCTTAAAAATAACAACCGGAATTTTGTTTATTGTCTTGCTTGTTCCTTGACCATTTGCATCTATTGTATTGCAAGTTCCTCAGCTAAGAACTGACCTTAATACTTGCATGTAATTAAAATGGTATAAAAGCAAAAAGGAGGGGGGGTGGGATAAGGGGTTTCTAGGGAGGGGAAAGGGAAGTCATCTGAAATAAAAATACATAAAATATCCAATAAAAAAAAGGAAAATAAAACAAAAAGAAAGAAAAAAAAAGGAAAATAACAACCAAACAAAAAGTTATAGTATTACATCCTTTCTCCCTTCCCATTCCTCTTTACAACCCATCTCATGTATCCCATTGGTATTGTAATTTGGGTTGCTATTATAGTTCAGAGTTCACAGCTGGGTTAGACCATCATTGCCTTTATCCCAGAGCAGCCTGTATAGTACCACATGGCATCATGAGACCCAGACAGTACTAAGGAATCCTCTGTCACAGACAGGATGTCGTGTAGCCTGGGCTGGACTCCTACTTGCCTAGTAGGGATGATCTTCAATCAGTGCAGGTCTTGCCTGCTTCCCAAATGCTAGAATTACAGATTTGTGCCATTATACCCAACTATCATCTCATTATTAACACAGATTTTTAATGTCTTGTGAAAATGGTCCCATGTGAGCATAGGACCGTTCATTGTCTGGACCACCAACTTTTCCTCCATCCTATGTTAAGAAAATTATCTTTCAAGTATCAGAGTAATATCAACTGTTTGTGTTTTGCAGCAGTATGATTTTGTAAGAAAGACTGATGAGGGTCAAATATATATCTTCACTACATAAACATCAGTGTCTCCCCAGAGTGTTGGAGGGAGGAGACAGAGTGCCTCATTCTTGGCCAAATGATAAACAATCTGCCCCTCCCAGAAGGGAGGTAGCCAACTGTTTACCCTGAAGCTTGGAGCTCTGTTGGTGAAGGGTTTCCTGTTCCTCTTGTTCTTGAGGGTGTTGTGTGTGTGTGACACACTTGTTGAAGAGGGAGTAGTGAAGAGCACTTGCTGCTCTTCCGGAGGATGAGTTGGATTCCAGCACCCACATGGGATGGCTCACAACTACCTCTAACTCCAGTTCCATGGGATCTAATGCTCTCTTCTGGTCTCCATGGTGACCTCTATACACATGGCATACATTTGCACAGGCACATAAGCATGAACATCATAACAAAGCATGCGCTGCTGTGGTAGTGGTGTGAGGTTCATTGATCTCAGGAATGCCCAGATACACCTACCTTTGTGGGCTTTTCTAACAATTCCTTCATTAGAAACAGGAAAAAATGAAACACAAGTACTTGGGTGGCATTTCCTTTGACTAACACCATTAGTGGTTTGTTTCTTGGACTTTGGACTCTATCAAATGTCCTTGAAGAAAGCTCTGATGGTACTTCCTCAATTCCCAGTATAGTAACTCTGAGATTTAGCCTTGGGTAACTAGGAGGGTATGTAGTAAGGGCTACTGACATGTGTTGTTGAGATCTTATTTTGACAAATGACAAAGTTGGTAGTCTTATGTGAGTGGACCTCATGGAAACATGATGTTCATGGTTAATCCTTTTCTATTTTCATTTTTAGGACAAAGAGACTGGCTTTCACAGAGGCTTGGGTTGGGTTCACTTTTCTTCACAGGAAGAACTTCAGAATGCACTACAACAAGAACATTTTATTGATGGAGTAAAAGTAAGTATTTCCGTCTCATGTGTGGTCCATGTCCCTTTAAAGAGTAGTTGATGTCCTATAAGGTCTGGAAAGGGAAGTCCCTGAGGACTCCTCTTTAGTTTTGGTGCTATGGACTAAATGCAGAATGCACACAAATACTAAATACATGCTCTTCTGAGTTACATGGAAACCCCTGTGATGGCTTATCAGCGTGTATGTAACAGAACAGTGGAAACAGTAGTATAGGCAAAGTGGCTGACACCGTCTCATTCCCACTGACTTAAGTTTCAGTTGATGACAAGAGGAAAAACAACAAGGTACTTGAGTCACTGGGTATGAATCTCCAATCTTAAAAACAGGTAGATTATCCCTTTAATGTTTCTTAAAAAAAAAGAAATAAATTTAACTTCTCTGACAGTGCTTTCCCTCCCACAGATCGATGTTCAAGCTCAAAGAACAAAGGTTCTGCACGGGGCTCAAACATCTGATGAAGAAAAAGATTTCTGAGATGATCAGTGTATGATCCATTAAATAAATAGAACTGAGACTTTTTCGAAATGTTTTTATTTGAAACAAGCTGCACTAAGCAAGACCTTGGTTTCAGTTTCCCCATGGTGTAGTAGAAGAGCACAACAGGGCAAATGCATCTGCTAGCATAGTTTCAGTGTGCAAACATTATCCCACTTATGTTTTATGATGTTATTCATAAAGTTCTTACAGAAAATTTTATGCCCCCCAACGAGTATTCTCATTTCTGTGTGGGGGAGTGTCTTCTTTAAGTGCTGCAAGATTGAAGAAGCACAAACAACCCATTTTATAAAAAAACAAAAACAACTGTGAAATAGAATAATCAATTTCCTGGAATAAAAAGGAGCGCTAGGATCTATCACCGAGATTTTTTTTTTTAATTTTTTTTTTAAATTTTTACAGTTTAATCTTTATCCCCTTAAGAGTCATCTCTCAGATGATTCCTTATCCCATTCCTCCTGCCCCATCTCCAAGATGATGTCACCACCCCTACCCACAAAGCCTTCCTACTCCCTGGGACATCTTCTTTCACAGAGTCCAGACCAGGCAATCCTCTGTTGTATCTGTCAGATTTAGTTTCAAGAGGCCCCTCTATTCCTTCCTCCGCTTTTTGCCTTCATGCTCATGTTCCTTGGGGCGACTGCTATCCGAGGGTCTTTTAGAACCACCATGCTGTTTTGCTTCTTCCAAAAACTTGTCCAAACCAAAAGGATCTTCCTCAAACTGAACTGGTCCTTCTCGGCCCCTCTGTCTACGGTCTGAACCAGAAAACTCCTTATCAGGAACAAATCTGGGGGAAAAGGAGAAAAGGTCATAAACGACTTCTGTTTTACTGGCGTAAGCAGGACCAACCATCAGCTGTCTGATTTGGTACCTATGGGTCTTTATCCTGGTTTCGAGGTCATCACCATACATGTCCTTGTCCAGATTTTTACTGGGCTTGTAGATACTCTGAGCCATATCTTTGCCACCTCTCCAGGCCTGATCATAAACATTGTAAATTTCATCTTCTCCGCCTGCAAATCCACTGTCCATACCCTGTGGAAAAATGAAAGACACCAAATATAAAGATATACTTATCCAAAGCTGAATCTGACTGCTGAGCAATGAATAGTTCCTTGTTTACAGCGAATTAAAAACCGCAACTGCAACATTCATATAAAATAACAAGTATAAACTTCTCCACACACATAGGAGTTCTTACTTAGAGACTAAGATTAAATCAAGGTAGTCATTAGATTTAGGTGGGTGTGGTGTTGCAAGCCTTTAGTCCCAGCACTAATGAGGCAGGCAGATCTCTGTGAGTCTCAAATCAGTCTGGTCCAAATATCACCTTCTAGGATAGCCAGAGCTATATAATAGGTCCTGTCTCAAACAGCAAGGACACATGGCTGGGTGGCACACAACTTTAATAGAGACACCCAGGAGTGGAGGCAGGCAGATCTGTTTTACAAAGGCCAGACTGGTTTACATAGTAAATTCCAATATAGCTGGGGATACAGAAAGAATACATCTTCAAAAATCAAAAATAAACAAAGCCAAATCAAAAAGACGATACAAAGTTGGGTATGTGGGGAAGGTGGGGTGCATCTGGGAGGAGGTGAAAGAGAGTGAATATGGTCAAACTCAATTGTATAAAATTCTCAACTGAATTTAAAAAATAAATCAACAAACAGCATCATTAAAATTGAAAGATTATGCTGGGCAGTGGTGGCACATGCCTTTGATCCCAGCACTTGGGAGGCAGAGGCAGGTGGATTTCTGAGTTCGAGGCCAGCCTGGTCTACAGAGTGAGTTCCAGGACAGCCAGAACTACACAGAGAAACCCTGTCTCGAAAAACCAAAAAAAAAAAAAAAAAAAAAAAAATAAAGGTTGTATTGTAGGTCCTGGACAATCAATGATGCTGAGAAATATTACCTCAATGACCTGAGAATGTCACTATTAATTAAAACACAAGATAATATGGTCCTCAATGAAAATCTTAAAAGGTTTCTCCCAGATTTAGAAGGCTTAAGCTTAAGGTTAGAAGAGATGACCATGTTGGAATGTTGACTTATGTGGTACTTTCACCCCGCCTCCTGCTCAGCTTAGCTGACACTGCACAGAGTTAAGAGTAAAGCTTTGGAGTCAAAGCATTCAAGGTTGAATCTTGGCTCCATCAATGACCGAACCCTGTCTCAATTATCTCTGAGAGATAATAGGCTGCTGCAGAGATGGCTCAGGGTTAAAGCACTTTCTGCATAAGCATGAGGGCCCAAGTTTGGATTCCTAGGACCCATGTAAACGATAGGTGGGTGTGGAAGCTTGTCTGTAATTCCATCCTCTGAAGATGGAGACAGGAAATCTCAGAGCAGGCTGGGTGGGAACACTAACTCTCTGTGAGTTCTGGGATGGACTGAGAGATCTGCTCAGTGATTAAGGTGGAAGGAGGAGTGATAAAGACAATTCCCAAGAGCAACTTCCAACATTAACATATGCCTGTACACACATGTGTACACACACAAATATGCATGCAAATGAAAATGTATAAAAAGAAAAATGAACCTCTCCCCAGAAAAACAAAAGTCTAGCTTCATATGTTGTGCGTCCCCCCCCCCCATGTTTTCTTAAGGATTGAAATGAATAGACTTCAACAATGCCAATACAATATAAAAACTATAAAAAACATGTATTGTTGCTTGGAAGAACTTACTCACATGCTATCTCTAAATCTCAAACCAGCAAGTCACAAGTTATCCCCAGGAAAAGCTAACACTACACTTTACTGTCTTCAATCAACAGGAATATGGAAGTATACACCCTTGAAAACAAACCCCTTCCTTCCCAACTTGCTTTTCAGTTGTGGTGTTTTGTCACAGCAATAGAAACCATAAGAAACCTACACACAAGATAAAGGTGTTTTCTAGACCCACATACCTTGGATTGGTTGAAGAGCCTTTGGTCATACTGAACTTCATTGGAAGTTCGAGGATTGGGCACACCAAGAGCAATGACTTCACTGATATCTCGATTTTCATTTCTCTGTAGTTTTGACCTATTTGAAATACATAATTATCAATACATTTTCACAGATAAGAGGAATATATGCAATATAAATACACCCACTCTCAGAAGCAAAGGAAATGAATGTGTTGTATTTATGTCTCATGAACATGTATGTTCTGATGATACACAATCACACTAGCAGCCCTGAGAACACTTCAGATGCCGAGAAAAGGTGGGTATGAGTCTACAGTTGGGTCCTACTAGCTCAGAAGAATACACAAGAGACTGCTTTTTGGATACAAATGGATGCATCACACACTTGCAATCCTTCTCAGCAGGATACACTCAGCTCTGACCTGCCTCTTTCTTATTTGCAATTATCCCAAACCCCAAATCCCACCTCTGGAGCACAGCATTTTCTGGACTTTGAAGCAACCTCAGTCCTCAGGCTCTTGTAAATCACAAACTTTGCCGATGCCTATTTTATGTTCCTATGAATCTATTGGATTTGTTTTACACCACTTCATTTTCCCATTATACAAAGCCCTGTTCTGAATGCTAAATAAACTGCTCACAGGAGTCAAGAATCTTCCTTCAAAACTTAATCCTCTTCCCACTGCACGTGGCACAGCACATGACCTAGAAAGGATGTCACTAAGGCTATGGTGCCTGGCTTTCCATCTACACACAGGCATGCAAGCAGCTTCTTCCACTACTTGGGAGTCAAAAAGCAGACACCTGAACAATTTTATCCTTCCCTTCAATACAGACATGAACTATGTTTCCCTTTCCTACAACTGACATTCTCAAGACTAACTGCTAATTCTACAAGGTGAAGAACGAGCAGGGAACCTTCTAGGAAGCTTCAAGTCTGTTACGATAAACCTTTTGAGTGTGGCAAAGTTTGTTCTCATTTTATTACCAAGCTAAAGAACTGCCCTTCTTCCTGACTCACATTTATGCAGGTTACAACCCACCTCTTATCGGGAGCTGCCCTGGAAAGGTTCCGGTCGTGTTGCCTCTCTTTGCGCCTGTCATGACGGATTTCATCTCTTTCACGGGCCTCTCCATCCTCTGTGGACACAGTTGAAAATTAATTCGTCACTACTCATATTTTGGACAAGAGGTTCTTCAGCCTTAGAAAATGCCATTTTTTTTTTATGTTTTGGAGACATGGCCTAGGCTAGCCTCAAACTCTGGCTGTTGTGTCCCACCTTGCTGCTGGGATTACAGGTGTGCACCACCACTTCTTTGTGGCCACACTCAGCCCTTTAACATTAACTGCAGTCAATTTAAATCCAGTTTGTGGAGACCCCTAGGTCAGCTACAAGTTACTGAAATGCACCTAAGTAGGAAGCTGGACTGTGGGAGAGGAGAGCATGTGGTGATGAAGGAAATCCAGTCATGCTAATTGTTAAAAAAATTAACCAGAGTCTAGGTGGAGAGAGGTTCATTTCATCACACATGGCTTTTCAGCTCTTCCTCTTCATGTAGGAGAATTGTCATGATAAAATGCAAAGACAGGGCTGGGGAAATGGCTGAGTTGGTAAAGAGTCTGCTGTTCAAGCCTGAGGACCTGAGTGTGGATCTCTAGCAGCCAGGTAGACAGCTACACATTGAAGTGTGTGTCTGTTGCAAACTTCTCTCGTCAGCCAACTGGGGAGCTTTCAACTCAGTGAGACCCTTTCTCAAAATACAAATAGTGATTGAGCCAGGACACTCAATGTCACCCTCTTGCCTCCACGTGAACATGTAATTGGTATATGCATGCACACATGTATATCAGCATACACACACACACACACCACACAGATCTTTTAACAAATGGAAAGAAATGATAACCATGTACAGGTTTTGGTTGGAGCTTGCTGCCCAGCCAGCCTAGCTAAATTTGTGAGCTCCAAGCAGAGAGGCTTTGCTTCAAAACCTAAAGTGATTTCTGGTCAGCTTTAATAGTGCCATAGAAGCCACTAGGGGTGGAATGCGGGAATTAGAGATGTTATCTAAGTGCTGGACCCTGCACACCACAATCCTGGCCTGTCCGGCAGGGTGAGCCCACTGGTGCAGCAGGGACAGTGCTGTCATGGGGCTGACCTGCTGTTTTGGGGTCAGATCCCTAACTACTCTGACACATCTCCAATGCAGAGAATCAGCTATACTCGGGTAAACTCAAGGGCTTTTGTAGTCATCTATCTTTCCATCTAGAATGTTCTTCTCCCAGATAGCCACATGGTTTATTCCAGGTCTTTGTACGAATATTAGCTTTTACAAGTAAGCCCCCTTCTGACAAGTCTTTCCTTCTGCAATTTTTATATCCTTTGTTTTATTTTCCTTTACCCATTGTATTATATACTATATGATTGACTCCATTTGCTTTTGTTGTTGTTTTGGAGACAGGACCTTATTATGTAGCCCTGGTTGTCCTCAAACTTTCCATCCTCCTGCCTCATCTTCCTCGGTGCTGGAAGCAGAAGTATACTACCAAGTGAGTTACTCCCATATAAAAGACTCTTTTAGATAAGCACTTCTTCATTTTCTGGTAGCTGAATTCTACATTATTTCTGATATCTCTCAATTTTTCTTGTGCATATAAACTATTTTTGTATACTGTAAAATACCCTCCCATATACATGCTCAGTGCACAAAGACCTTTTCAAATGATATATACATTGTCATAAAGTAAATTCCACAATGGAAATTGTCATACCTTTTTCCACATGGGTTTTGATCCCAGCTCTCCTTTCTCTGGCTTTCTGGGCCATTTCTCTAAGTTTCTCTTCATGTTTCTCCTTTTCTTTTTGAGCCATCTTTCTTTCTACTTGGGCTCGCATTTCCACCGCTTCTCGAGCCTGTTTAGTAAAGGGAGACCGTAAGTGGAACTCACAGTGGGATACATATTTACAGCCATTTTCAAACTCCTCACTAAACCTGCCTGTAAAGGCATCTGCACACACTAAAGTTTGTTGCTGCTAAAAAGGCTATACCACTTTGGAAGGCTGGGCGCTTGTCTCTAGGGAATGTTTAAATGGTGCAAACACAGCAAGCCCTGGTGATTTTGATAAGTACATTACTAATGCTTTGGCTGAGCAGTACAGTGGGCACCCAGCACAAAGAATATCATCAGAGTCCACTAGTTCAAAACCAGACTCGAATGCGCTAGACATGGTGGTATATGACATTAATCCAAGCACTTGGAAGGCAGAGGCAGATGAGTCTGTGTATGTTTGTTCCAAGACAGCCAGGGCTATGTAGAAAGATCCTGTCTTAAAAGCAAAACAAAGGAAACCAGATTGAACCATCGTGAGACCCAGCCCCAAAATGTAAGTAAATCGGTAAATAAATGTCGCTGGACATGGTAGTGCATACCTGCAATCTAAAAATCAGGAGGCTGAGGCAGAAGGATTGCAACGGGCTCCAGCATAGCCTGAGCTTGAAACTCAAATCCTATCTCAAAAACCAATCCACCAAAATTTAAGCATGACTTTATCTTACAACAAAATCTTTCCTTACATCTGAAAGATTTCAGTATGAAAAAATCAAATACAATCAGAAAAAACTTCACTTATTTGTATGTGCATGTGCATATCAATACAGCACTAAATCTATAATGTCAATAGGTAATACCATCAATGCCGTTTTGTGAGTGAACTAAATCACGATGCTTATGTAGTCTTCACTACAACTCTTCTTTTGGGGAACATCTATATCTAAAATAGAAGAAAACTTTGCAACATACAATAGTACCTAGTTATCTTCAAAGAATTATTAAGTCAGCCTAGGAAACCAGTACTCTGGCACGGGTGTACCATCGCTGCTTGGGTAGTGAGGGGGCCCTCTTTATACAGACCCACAGCTAGCCCGTGCTGTTAGTGTGTGTGTGCACGCACGCACACACACACGCACACGCACACGCACAAGTCAGTGTCCCTCTGGACCGGAGGTAAACTGATGTAGAGTCATAGATGCAAGATCATTTAACAAACTAAAAGACTAACCTTTCGATCAGCAATGTATAGCGCTTCAGCTAGTTTGGCAAAGTTTTCATTTATGTGGACAGTTTGAAGTCCTCTTCCATCAGCGGCCAGCCGTTTATCTAATGGAATCGTATACCCCTGAAATGAAAGCAGAAGACAAGTCAGCACAGTGGGGCTGCAGTCATCGTGGAACACTAGCTAGCGCACGCCCATTCTGAGAACCACACACATTTCTATTTCTCACAGTTCCTTTCACACAACCATAAATGCTTTGGATGGAGGCTCCATGCTCTAATTAATCACCCTGGTAACTACACGAGGCTGGCAACCCAACTCCCATCTCACAGGAAGGTGGGGTAGAGTGCCAAGGGATGGTGGCAAATTCAGAGTCAGAACATGGATGAACTAAGACCGGATCACTAATGATGCAGGAGCCCAAGCATTTAAAAGAAGTCTACTGTCCAGTAGTCCAACTACAGTAAAACCAAGTCATAAGAATGCTAACTGCTAGAGCCCAGGGAATATGCTAAACATCTATTGGAATCCTATCTTTCAGGCCTGGTTTTATTTTTCCAGATTTGTAACTTATTTATCAAACACTACCCTTAAGTCCATTGTCTCCTAACACGAAGCAGTGCTGAGTGTGCTGCTACATGTCTGCAACCACACAATGAGAGGATTACAAGTTCAGGACCAGCCTGGCCCACACAGCAAGTTCTAGATAACAAACTGAGACCTTGGCCCCAAAGCGAAATACAAAGAAACTCCCATTTGAAAAGAATCCAGAGATAAACAAAGACCCACAGTGTTTCAGAGTCATCTCAACACATAACAGGGTTACACAGATACGAATCAAGCTACCTAAGACTGTCCAGAGCCTTTCCAGTGGAGGATGACTATGTCATTTTATATTTAATTCCTGGCTTACAGTTGCTGCCTTCTCCCATCAATGTGTGTCATGGAGTAGGACTCCAAGCCTATAAGCAACAGGAATTAGGAAATGCATCCCTTATTTTACAGATCCCCACTAATTTGGAAGCTCTGGCACCTGAGAGACATAGGATTTTTGTTCGTTTGTTTGTTCTTTTGAGTTTATGTATTTGGGTTTCTCTATGCAAACCTGGCTGTCCTGAAACTCATTATCAGACCAGACTGGCCTCAAACCTATAGAGATTCCCCTGCCTCAGGAGTGCCACCATGCTCTGCAACACAAAGGTTTTATTTTTGGGCCTTATTTTTTTAGACAGGATCTGGCTATGTAGTCCAGAGTAGCCTTCAACTTGTTATCCCACTGCTTCATTTCATGTGTGCAGGAATCACACGCATGTAACACCCCTCCTGACAGCACTGCGAAGAGCAATGCTACACAGCAGAATAGCCAGCAATAAATAAATAAATAAATAAATAAATAAATAAATAAATAAATAAAGCAGTGAAACCCCCCTAACCACCTCCTCCTGCCCCTGAACACTGAACTGTTGTCCTTTTTATTGGTTTTTTCTGGGAATAATTCTAACCTAGAAGCTTGACCTTCATGATGAATTACATCTTCAACCAATAAGGTATTTCTGTCTCACACTCTCTGTCTTTCTCTCTCTTTTTTCTTATTTATGTTATTCTGACAGCTATACTATACCAGAGAGATTTTCATTGTATTTGAGTGCCTGGCATAGCATCATTTCTAGTGTAGTTTAAAATGCCCCATGAAGCTGTCTCTCTATTTCTTTGGGGTACAACAGGTCTCAGATGCTGAATGTGTACACTTCCACTGAGCTCTGCTCTCAGCAGTTATAATTTCTTAAATTTCTTATTCGGAATGTTAAGCTGACTGAGGAGCTGAAGCTTCAAGGAATGTCCCCAGGTTGCAACTCCTTTCTGAGCAATCCCCAGGGACAGTCCTAAGAGAGTGTGGGAAAGTACCTTAGCGTTCTTCCAGTTGGAAATACAAGGAGGGATCTTCCACTCTTGCTGTTCCTTCACAGTCATCTGGAAAACAGGTGAGAAGAGAAGTTTGTCTAACAGTCTAACTCGAAACCCAAATACAACCCTCCCCAAGGACATCTCTACATGCACCAACACAGGACAGTTGCAGTAAAATCTCTGCTAGAGTGGATACTGTGTTCCTGGCATGGACTGTAGCTACAGGAACGCTAACGTGAACAATGAGAAGAGTTCATATTATCACAAATGCTGGACAGTACTCTTCTATACTTAACCATGGCTGACTTAGAGGAGTGGGGCAATGTGGCAGCTTTCAGATGAAAACACAAACTGTGCAAGTCAAACAGGACCTGTCCACTCCTCTAAATTCAGACCTCAAGCTACTGCGGGTAAAACGGCTGCTGCTCCCGCAGGTTCATTCTCAGAAGCACACTGTATTGTACTTTAGTCTTAACTGGGTCTATATCTGATCTCATAACATCCATTAAAAACAAAAGTGTAATCATTGTGGTGACATGTACCTAAGGCAGAGGGACTGTTCGTAAAACTAAAATCACAGGTAAGAAATACTTTACTGTAGCAGGATTACCTTCCGACTAGGAGAGTGCATTACAGGTGCAGGAGGAGAAGGAGGTCCCCGGGGAATTTTCTTATTAATCCTGAAGAATAAATCAGAGTGAAAGAGTCATAGCGTGAAGCTTGTTTTTGTCAGCTGGTAAATGTGGCCACTGTCACCACTCACCTCACAGTGTTAACACAGCACAGTACAATACACTCCCAGCTTGATATAAGTGACACACAACTAATTAAACAGGAATCGTACGATCCAGTCACCCGGATAACACAATCTAGACAGTGAGCATTCTCATCACCTCAACTTGTGCATGACCCATGTCTCTCCCTTTTCTTCTCCATCCCCACACATTTCGCCATGGGCAGCCACTCATCAACCGCCTGTAACTAAGTGTAAATTTGCATTTTCTAGAATTGTTCAACATGAATTAATTTATTGTCTGTGTGTGAGGTGGGTATGCATGGATCCTGGTAAGTATGGGGGTCAGAGAACAACTATGCAGGAGTGGGTTCTTCCCTCATGCCATGTGAGTGCAAGAAACTTGGCAGACAGTGTCTTTAACCTCTGAGCCTTCCCGCTGACACCACTGTCCAGAGTTTTATATATACACAGAACCATAACATTGCATTATGTGTTTCTGTCTGGCTTTTTTCATATAGCATAATTATTTTCAGACTCATCTGAAAAGACTTTTCTCAGCCCAATAATGTTCCAGGTACTGATGTACCAATGTTTGCTTATCTAGTCACCTGTTGATGAACATGTGCGACACTTTTCTTGTTTGATACTTAAAAGTATAAATATATTCATATAAGTACACTGTAGCTATCTTCGGACACTTCAGAAGAAGGCATTGGATCCCAGATGGATCCGAGCCACCATGTGGCATGTGGTTTCTGGGAATTGAACTCAGGACCTCTGGAAGAGCAGCCAATGCTCTTAACCACTGTGCCATCTCTCCAGCCTCCTCTTGTTTGATGCTTTAAAACAGCAGCAGTTCACCCTTGTGAAGCCATATACTTACTTGAATCTTGGTGGCTCCATTGGGTCTTTCTGCATTTCTACCATCCGAATAACCCTTTGTTTAGCTCCAGAATTGAATGCTACTCCTTGCTGAGATGGTGTATAGCTAAAGAAAGTAGATAAAATCAAAGGTGTAATTAGTTCAAGCTTTTTTGGTAGGTATTTGTCTTCTACTACAGTCCAAAGTGACCACACTTTCAGAAACAGACTAGAAAAACAACAGAAACCGAATCACAAACAAGATGTGCACTCTAGTGCTTAGTGACTTTCCTTCTTATCCTCTCCATATCCCACCTGGGAAGTACTCCTCAGCTTCGAAGGTCCAAAACTAGCATCTACTTTATATCTATTTTCATTATGGAGAAAAAATTGCCAGGGCCAGAAAGATGGCTCTGCAGTTAACAGCACTGACTGCTCTTCCAGAGGACCCAGGTACAATCCCCAACATGGATGTCAGATCACACTGCCTGTAACTTCAATTCTAGAGGATCTGACTTCCTCTTTCTGGCCTTGTAGGGTACTGGGCATACAGGCAAAACCCTACTAACTCGATGTTTTCCTTTTAGTTCTGGTTCCAATCATTCCTCACACAGTCCACTGAAGGCCCTCAACATTAAGCAATGTTATAAATGCTTATTAAATATAATAAAAATGATAAACAATTGTCATTTGGGTCATATACCACAGGAAATGGTTTATTCTCTTAAAAAAAAAAAACCTGAAAATCAAAACCCCCAAAACTCTAAACAACCATCTGAAGATCACAACAGTTAACATCTCTTTTTCTTGAGACAGGGTCTCATACCAAGTAACCCTGGCAGTCTTACAACTCAAGAGATCCATAGGACTTTGTTTACGCATGTGCAACTCTGCCCAGCTTATAACAGTTACTAACATGGGTATTTCAAAGAACTTCTGCAAGCAAGAGTTAATAGGCTTCAAAAGTCATTATTTACGACAATGTGTTTGTAACTGGCTTTGTAGGCTGGTGACAGTTATCAAAATCCCACCTACTGAGTCTGATATGCAACTAACTCTTCCATACCGGATATACTGAGCAGGAGCCAGCTTGTCAGCTGCACGAACTGGCATGGCTGCAGCAACCTTCTGTGACACAGACTTTTCCAAGGCGACTCTTGTCTTTTCTGTTATCTGAAACGAGAAGCATCATGTTGAGTAGTTTGGAAATTAGTAAGAACATAAAGTCACCTAAAATAATCACATGTATCCACTCTTAGTTACCTCTTTAATCGCCTCTTCATCGGGCCTTTGCAGGTCTGGGTCATCTGCATTCATAACCTCCTTTGGAACCAGGTCAGTGTATTTGCTGTAAATGACCTAGGGTGTTCAAACACAAGCAGGCTTAGGGATACAGAGAGTGGAAAAAGCAGCCTTGTTAAGTCAGTCTAGATGTCAACATGTCCTTGTAGCATATTTGTCGTTCAGATTTTAAAACTAAAATTGGTTAAAATACATACACAATTTTTATAATTTAAGAAAGGTAGAGCTGGGGAATGAGATTTTTGAGTTGGCTTCTTCAGATCAGTCATTTTACATGTAATTAGTGGAGATTTTATAGTTCACATTATATTTGTATATAATTATCAACTAATCTTTAAGTTGTAATAAATATATTTGCAATTAAAAAGAATACATACACAAATTGCTGCTCTGGTTCCAAACTCATCACTTTCCCTTGAGCCCATACATTTAAATTATTTGAGATCTTCTAATCAAGTCAGTATCCAAATACACTCTGCCAACAAGATCTTATGCATTAGTGATCTCAATTTGAGGCTCACTAGGACTTGAAATTAATGATGATATAAATTGCCTATGGCTCCATTTTTTGGATTAAAAATTTTCATCAGATTTTAAGTCAGGTCACTAAATAATTTACAAATTCACTGAGCCTAGAAAATTCCACTGACCTCATCCTATTTATAATGTTTCTGTTTTCTGGAATCAATTCTATCTGGAATCAAAACTAAGAAAGAAAACAAAAAACAACAAACAAACAAACAAACAAACAAAAAATCAGAATATTTTCTTCTGCAAGAATAAGAGAAAAATAAATATGCGTACTCTCTAGTTTCATTTCTGTCTTTGTGAGTGATAACCTGACCAAAAAAACTCAGGGAGGAATGGGTTTATTTGGCTTACAATTCCAAGTCAGAGTCTATTACTGAGAGACACTGAGGCAAGAACTCACACTGCTCATCACATTAGGCCCAGTCAGGAGCAGAGACGTGAATGACCCTCTGCTGTTTGCTCCTGTTTAGCTTTCCTTTCCCACACAGTACAGGAATCTCTGTCTAGGGAATGGTGGTGCCCAAAGTGGGCTGATTCCTGTCAATTATCAAGACAGTCCCCCACAAACATATGGCCAACCCCATTTAGACAGTTCCTCGACTGAAGCTCCCTTCCCAAGTGATTCTGGGGTTATAGCAAATTGACAACAAAAATGTATTATCCTAGTACATAACTTGTTCTATACTCAATTTTAGGACTACTTTATGAATTCTATCAAGACCAGCAAAGTTCTTGACTCATCCTCCAATAAGGTAGGTCCACAGATCAGATGTACCTCCAGTGCCTGGTTCAGAACATTCTACTATTAATGTATTAATTTTCCAGAGTTATAAAGTGAAATATCTAGCTTACTGTTTTGAAGAATGAAAGGGATTGGAAAAGAGAATTTAGCACAGGTTTAACTACTGACATAGGAACCACCAATAGCATCATCTTTGATAAGTGTTCATTTTATAAGGATCCCAGAAGCACACAATAATGAGAAGAGTGAGGATCAGGACATGAGGACCACATAGCAGTAACCCACCTCAAACGTCTTATTTCTTTTTAGGGTGGAAAAATCTACATCACCACAAATTGAAAATTCTCTAACATGGTAGAGGAGAGCAGTGAGATTACCAAGAGTTAACCGCTTTTACATGGTAGACATTACAGGGAGCTTCTAAGTACGTGGCTTCCCAGTAGTCATGGTGTTCGATATAGTCTCAATACTAATTTAGTACATAAGAGCCATTTGCTGCTTCTTATTTGGGTATTCCAAAGTTAATAACCCTTTATACAATCATCAGTGAGATTCTAGCATCTGACAAGGCAGAGTGAAGGACATCACGTCTAGCATTTTACAGCCTGAAACTTAATGTGCTGAAGAAACTCAGCATATCAGCATATCTCAGTACGCAACATAGCTGGGAGGAATCATCTGCAAACTCTTTCCTGAAGCAAAGAGCATGGGGATTTACTCATCGAGAGAAGAGCAGGCCCAGGCATGCATGCAGCCTCTTCTGGCCTCTACAGGCATCAGGCACACACGTCGTACACAAGTTAACATATTCATATACATAAAATAAACCGAATTTAAACCATAAAGAGAAAGCAGTAAGTCATCCAACCGCTGGGTTGACAAGAATAGGTCTGACTGAAAGGGGAACCTGTCAACATATCCACCATGTCGTCTGCAATACATAAATAAGTTAACATCATGGGATTTATCACAAGGTCAGCTGAAGCTGCTGGAGTTTGGGAGGAGGGATTGAAGACATTCCTTTAGGTACTATTATTTACAGAACATTTTCCACAAAATAGTTGCAGAAGGAAACTGCACACACCAGGCTTTTAAGACATCACTGAAGTCCACACAAGTTCTATCAAAATATATCCCAAGAACCTCTTCCTCACAGGTTTCTGAGTGTTTTATGCATTGTAGTTTTAAATGCATGGAGAACAACAGCCTTAGACTTTTCTCAAATATGAAGTGTTTTCCCCGCTTCTTATACCTACCACTAGACATGGTTGTGACTCTAGGGCAGTGGTTCTCAATCCTCCTAATGCTTTGACTCTGATACAGTTCCTCAAGCTGAGCTGACCCCAACCATACAATTACTTTGTTGCTACTTCCTAACTATAACTTTCCTACTGTTATGAATTGTAATGTAAATATCTGATATCCAGGATGTCTATTATATAACCCCAAAGGGGTTGTGACCCACAGGTTGAGAGCCACTGCTCTAGAGGGTCAGACTAAAGTCTAGAAGTAAGGATCCACTGAAAGCTTGCCATGGCTTAACATCACTGAATCTAAGGAGATTCTCGGCTTCTATCAAGTCTAAGGGGAAACAACAAAGCTAGTTCTTCAGAGTAGTTCCTCAGCTGAGGAGAGCCACACTGTGATGACACTAAGTTTTATGTTGTGCCTTTGGATTACTCTTTAAGATGCTGGGTGACAAAAGCAGTCTGTGTTATATCCAAATGAGCTATTCAAATAAGAACTGGGGAAGTAGCTCTGTGGTGGAGCCTAGGCTTGGCATAACACAAACATCCTGGATTGGATTGGATCGCTAGTTCCATCTAGAAAAAGTAAAGAAAGCAAGCACCTCAAATACACGGGGGGTGGGTGGTGGGTGGGTGGGTGTGTTGATTTTTGTCTATAGGCAAAAGTAAAAGCTGATTTGGGGCCAGGGGCACAGTACAGGTGCAGAACAATTAATGGCCTAGCATGCATGAGGTCCTGGGTTTCATCTCTAACAAGACCAAAATCAAAACTGTTTTTTTTAAAGAGTCTGTGATTACTGATCTTAAAAGTTTGTCAGCACTTGTAGAATACCAAACAACTTTTTGAAACATAAAACAAATACCTAAGTACAAAAGCTGTCACGGCTGGGTGTGGCCTACAGCAACCGGGAGGGTAAAGGCAAGAATGTCTAAGCTCAAAGCCAACTTGGGCTATATGCCAAGACTATGGTTTAAAGGGGAGAGCAGGTATTACCAAGCTGTACAGAATTCCAAGGCACAATGTCACTGTTAGTCACAAAGTTAATCTAGTATACTTCATAGCTATACAGTATATTTTGTAGAGATTTTTATGGCTGGACCCAGAGCTTTGTGTACACCAAGCAGGCGACTTACCATCAGTAAGAGCCCTAACTTCACTGCTATTTTTTCTTATAAAGACCTATTTACTTTATTGCATGTCTATGAATGTTCTGCCTGCACACGTGCGTCACAGGCATCCCTAGTACCCAGGCATCAGAAGATGGCATCAGATGCCCCGAAACTGAAGTCACGGGTGAGTGATAGAAACTGAACTCAGACCCTTTGCAAGGACAAGTGTCTATAGCCACGGAGCCATGGCTCCAGCCCCAACTTCACTGTTACTTTGACATAACCCACAACAGCAAGTGGTTTACCATTTCCACAAAATGTAATATACTTCACAAAATATTTATCAATAAGAAAAGCAAACAAACAAAACCAACAAGGATTACCTTGTCTTTGGACTGTCCCTGTCGAGCAATTGCATCATATTTAATTTTCCCTTCTGGATCCACCTGAATGGCTAGTGCATTTGACATTTTTTTCTTTCGCCCCATATCCAGAGGATACTGGGCCACATGGATTTCTGGGAAAGCACCTCCATCTCCAAAATCCTGTATATTTCAAGAAAAGAAGTAAAAAGAATATTTAGTAGTAAGTAGCAAATCATTCAAGTTAGCAAATCTATGCTAGGTATGAGTGACAGCAGTAAACAAAAGCAAGGTTTTCATCTTGTGCAGACTACATTTAGTGGGCAAAGGAATAAAAACAGACTGAGTGTAGGAAGGACCATGAGGATCATGCAAGGCCCTGGGAAGAGGCACTGACATACTTTCAGTGGAGTGGCTGTGAGGGCCTTTAAAGAAATCACACAAGTGAAAGTCTCAGTCAAGAAAAGCAAACAAAGGAAGATCCAAGCTGTGGTGGTTTGAATAGGTTATGGCCCCATAGACAAATGGGTGTGAATGCTTGACCCATAGGGAGTGGCACGACTAGGAGGCGTGGCCTTGTTGATGTATATCACTGTGAGGATAGGCTTTGCTGTCTCTTATATGCTCAGGCAGTGCCCACGTGGCACACAGTCTCCTGCTGCCTTTGGATCATGATGTAGAATTCTCAGGTCTTTCTCCAGGACCATGTCTGCCTGGGTACTGCCATGCTTCCCACCATGATAAAGGACTGAACTCTGAAACTATAACCCAGCCCCAATTAAATGTTCTCCTTTATAAGAGTGGCCTTGATCACAGTGTCTCTTCACAGCCATAAAACCCAAACTCTACACAAGGGAACCATTTTCTTTCTTTTTTCTCCCCCCCCCCCCCAAGGGTAAAGGTGGGGGGGTGGGGGGGCGGGGGAGGGGGGGGGGGGGGGGGAGGGAGGGTGAGAGGGAGAGAGGGAGAGAGAGAGAGAGGGGGGGGGGTGAGAGGGCATAGACTTTGATGATTTAAAACTGAAAAACAAACAAACAAACAAACACCTCTGAAGTTAGAACAACTTTTGGTCCTAAATAGATTACTTACGGTATATCCGACCCCCGTTACCAAGAGTGTTAGAAAAAAGTGAAATTCATCAACAAGAGTGTATTTACTGAAAAATAAATTCATTTTTGTAAGATTTTTTTTTCAGAGTATTTCATTAAATCTTGGATGTGAATTTCTAGCCCCCTGGAGAGGGTTGAGATTTTTGAAAACCAACAAATCAAGTGAAAAAGAGCTATATTCTTGTAAATTAGGCAGAAATCAACTCTTCCTAAGACAAGTGCCTTCCTGTACTCAGACCATCAATCTGACACTCGCTCAGATTCACTGGAGGTCTTCGACTGTAGTCAGCACTTCACAACTGTAGCTGTAGCACTATGTGCTCATTAACCCTGTCAGAAAAATCACAGCTTTTACTGTGAAAACTAGAACAAAATGCCTTCTTCAGAGAACAGCCACTCCCTGAAAAGCACCCTGGCATTTTCAGATCAGCTGGCCACTCAACTTTGATTTCCAAATGAACTGCTCTCATCTGCCAGGATATATAAAACCCTTGATAATCAATTAAGACTAGAAAAGCTAACAACCACCAGATGTCAGAAAGCTCAAAGGCTCACGTATGAAAAATGAAGCCTGCTGTACCCACTCGCTGTAATCCAGGGAAAGCCCCACCCACAACACATCTATAACCTCTCAAAAAGGACACTAAGTACAATTATATAATGCCTGCCACCACTACTTTTTGGCTGTGGACAGGAATAGATTATCCAGGAGGCTGGAATGCTTTCCTATCTTGTCATGTATCTCACTAATTCCAGACAGAACAAAACCAAAATCCCTAATAACAGCAAGACAGGCCTCACACATGACGATTCATAAAGACCAAATGAGAATCTGGACAAAACAAACTCTAACAAGACCCAGGACTGTGTAACAGCAAGGCAGGGTGGGCCTTGTTAGGTGCTCAGTTTCTTGACCTGACAGAGGCATGGCAAACAAGGGAGAGACAGAGTGCAGAAGTCTTTGGGCAAGATGCTAAGCAATGTTTTTATCCAAAGATACTAGAAACACACCTGGAGGCAGACTGAAGAAAGGCAGAGACCTCAGGTATAAGGAGATGTCATCACCAGGTAAGAAAGTGCTACACTGGCCTGGAGAGTTGGCTCTGTGCTTAAAAGCACTGGCTGCTCGTTGCAGAGAACTCAAGTTTGGTTCAGAGGACCCACTTGTAACTCCTGTCACAAGGCCCTCTTCTGACCTCCAAGGGCCCTGTATGACTGTGGCACACAAATGTACGTGCAGGCAAAACACCCAGACATATAAAATAACTTAAATCTCTTACTCTGATTTTTATTTTTCGAGACAGTTTCCCTGTCCAGGATAGCCCTGGCTGTCCTGGAACTCACTCTGCAGACCAGGCTGGCCTCGAACTCATAATCTGCCAGCCTCTGCCTCCTGAGTGCTGGGACTACAGGACTACTGAATGCATCACTATATCCAGGCTAAGGGGAGATCATTTGCTATAAACACAATATATAAGTCTATTAACAGCTGAGCCATCTCTTCAGTCAAGATAGGTTAAGTCTCAAATGTTTACTTTTCTCTCCAGATAAGGAAGATAGGCAAATATGTGAAACTGGGAAAAGATATGTAATGAAATACACACAGGATTCTGAGTAATCAGTTAAATATGGGCTGTCAAGGAAATTTGTTCTTTGGAGACAAATCAGACATACAAAAAGATCTTTGCTTCTACTAAATCAACCAAAGTTTAGCTTTCATACTCCTAAAAACGTATGTAAGTAATATTATGACCAGGTATGTGCTAACATTCTCAAACTGAAGATTTAAAAAGCACACAGAGAAGTCAACCGACAAAGGAGACACTACTGGGGTTTTCCCTGACAGTTACCTCTTCAGTTATGACATGGTATTATTTTCACTGCTGAAAGTGGGATAGGGATGAACACAACTCAAATGCAAACCCACTCTCATTCTTCTTATAAAGATTTCAAATTTGTATTTATTATTACTAGTGCATGTGTGACAGAGAAAGGAGGAGAGGGAAAGAAAGAGAGGAAGAGGTGGGGGCACATACCCACAACACAGTGCATGTAAACAAAGGATTGGGAACTGTGCAATCAAATTCAAATTGTCAGGTTTGTGCAGCAAGTGCTGCTTCCTGCTGGGCCATCTGCCTCTTCTATTTGTATCACACCCTCCCATTACTGTTCATGTGTTGCAAGGCCTACATTTGTAAAGGTATGCTAGCTCCTTTTGTATAAGTTGAATAGTTCAGCACAATAAGAAGTAAAATAGTGATTCTCTGGTGATCACCCACCATGACAATAAACAAGAAGAAAGTCTTTGCAAGGAAGAGCATACTTTCTGAACTCACCACTGCAGGGCTGCTAACAAGCACCCTCCAGGGTTCAAATTTATCTTACAAGTGTACAGTAATATACTTCAGCCACACTTACCTCTAACAGTCTCGGAATCCAGCCTTTCCTGTATCCGTATGGGGGAGGCTCCCTTCGAGAGGAGACCAGAGAGGTCTGCCGTGATCGCTGAGATCTTGCCCTTTCTTCAGCTTCAAGTTGGTCCTGAGAGAGCTGAGTAGGCGCAGGTAAAAAGCTACAGGATATCAAAGTCAGAATTTAATTTTTCATGATTCAGCTACAATATTCTTTTGCTCAGCACACAGACTTTTCAATGATTTATAGAACCATTCAATATTTATTACATTCTTATGTGTGGAAAGGAAAAAAAAATTACTCAGAGACAAACGTAAAAACCCCTTGACTATTCCAGGAGCAAATGCTTGTCCAGACTTTAAAACAGGCATATGAACGAACGCACGCAGGCACGCAGGCACGCGCGCACATACACACACACACACAAATTAATATATATATATATCACCACTGATAAGCTGCAGATTTCTGTGTTATTCTATACTCTATACAGAAGCCAACCTACAGCGCATAGTTTCCTAAGACTTCTTCCCAATTTTCATTTACCAAGATCTAGTTAGGTAGCTCAGGCTGGTCTTGAACTTGCCACCATCTAGCCTCAGCCACTTGAGTGATGAGATTATAGAGGAATTTAACACTATGTTACCGTCCTTTACTATTGATTTCTTTTCTTTTTTCTATTTCTGTAGACAGGGACTCACTGTGTAGTTCCAGCTGCTTCCCCAGTTCTGCGATTACAGCTCTCCAGACCATCTATCTTTCTGCATTATGATTAACTATTCATTTACCAGATTCAGCAACCTGAGGAGAGGAACTGCATCCTGTGCTTCTTTTGTCCCTAACTGTCCCAGCCCTGTCTGGTAACAGGAGATGCTCCAACATTTCCATGTGATTCACTCTGCATTCATGGTTTTATATCATGGCAGTCTTCTTGCCTTTAACAAGTCATCTCAAATCCTTTGCCAAAAAATACTAAAGATTTACCAGTAATGTTTTTAAACTTACTTATTAAGGGTCTCACCAGGCTGACCTCAACTCAGGCATCTGCTTGTCTCTGCCTACCAAGAGCTAGGATTAAAGTCACGCAGCACTACACCCAGCCAGACTCACATTTTTATTTAGTTTGTGTATGGAGGTGTGTGTGTGTGTGTGTGTGATGGCACTGTTGTAAGTGTGAAGACAACTGTGGGAGTCAGTTCTCTCTTCCCATCATGTGGGTCTCACAGATGGAAGTCAGGTCTTTGAGATTGGCAGCAAGTGCTTCTATCCACTAAGGCATCCCTTGCTGGGCCTGTACCCGAAACTTTTAAGTTATATTCTAATGCTTTACCCCAGCTGTAGCATTTGCATTATCAATTTTTTTCTCATGTAATCTCTTTCCTAATGGAAGTAAGCTCATGAGCATATTGAGTAAAAAGACACAGGAAGCTTACCTACCATCTCACCAATAACCAATAGAACACAGGACACCGGGTATGTGTCCTGTACTTTTCCCACACACCCAGCAAACAGGTGATACTCCAGAAGACTGTAACTAGGCAATTCCTAATTCAATTCAGTCCTCAGAGGCTGAGGACTCAACACCAACAGACTGCCTCTACTTCCAATAACCAACAGAGACTTTGTTACCAGTACTTTGGTTCCACTGACTAAAACTGGGGTCCCCACTGTTTTAAATATTAAATATTCTCTTCAGATTCAGTACAGAGGTGTGCTGAGATGGATTTTGGGTGACCAGTTCCTTTAATAAAGGCAACAGAAGCTGGAGCACGGTGGAGACCTTAATCCCACTTGGGAGGCAGATGCAGGTGGATCTGTATGACCAGGCCAACCTGGTCTTCAGAGCATGTTCCAGGTAAGCCAGGGCTACACAGAGAACACTATTTCAAAAAACCAAAACCAAATCAAACAACAAAAAAACAAAAAAACAAAACCACAAAAACTCTACAGGGGACAGGTTCCTGAGCTTAGCCTATTAGGTGACAGCATAAGGTGTGGCTGACCTCTACAGGTGCAGCCACTGGGACCTAACACCTTCCTCCCCTCTTTGATGCATTTGCTAGGACAGTTCATGAACCTAAAAGGCAAGGCAAAATGAAACAAAACAAACACACACACACAACAAGCCAACATATTCAATGCTCGTTTTGAGTTTTCAAAAATATAAGTAGGCTCATTTCATTTTTATGTGTATGAGTGCTTTGCCTGGCTGTATGTCTAGTTACCACATACATGCCTGGTGCCTTCAGAGACTGGAAGAGGGTGTCAGATTCCTAAATTGAAGTTACAGATGGTTGTGAGCTGCTATGTAGGTGCTGGGAATCAAACTAGATGATTTTAATAAATAACACTTAAAAACAAACAAATGAAAGCTAACTTAAAGCTTTGTAGTCCCCAAGCCCAACCGTTTCGAGACTTCACTCTTCACCATTGCTAAGATAAGCACACAATACACAATACACCCCTGGTGTTTTTGTGCATCCATTTTAAATTCTACCTTTCCCCTCATAGTCCTACTAATCTATATCATAGTGCCTGAAGACTTCAATGTTTGCTACCTGTAACACTTAGTCAGCATAACCAAGGCCAGTATGGCACAAGTAAGCATCCTCTGTTGGCTCTAGTTTCATTTCTATTGCTTTTGTTAAAATACTCCCGCAAAAAACCAAACCAAAACAACAACAAAAACAAAACAAAAAAACAAACAAATTAAAGGACGAGAGGCTTATTTGTTGTCTTAGTCAAGATTTGTATTCTTGCACAAAATATGACCAAGAAGCAAGTAGGGAAGGAAACGGTTTATTTAGCTTACACTTCCACATTATTACTGTTTATCATCAAAGAAAGTCAGGACAGGGTCTCACCCAAGACAGGAACTTAGAGGAAGGAGCTGATGCAGAGACCATGCAGGTGTGCTGCTTACTGGATTGCTTCCCCTGGCTTGCTCAGCTGGCTTTCTTAGAAAACCCAGGACTATCAGCCTAGGGGTGGCATCACCCACAATCGGCTGGGCCTTCCCCCCTTGAACACTAATTACAGCAGGATCTCATGGAGGCATTTCCTCAAGGGAGGCTCCTAAGTGATAAATCCAGCTTGTGTCAACTTGACACACAAAACCAACCAGTCCATTTGTCTTACAATTCCAGGTTACAATCCACCAAGGGTTGTCAAGGCAGCTAGAGAAAACCCACAATCAAAAGAGGGACCTACTTTCTTGCAGAAAAGGAAGGACGGAGGCAAGCAGGCAGGCAAGGCACCTGAAACTGCTTGCTGGGTTGCAGAGTGGCTAATAATCATCTAGCTTTCTTACTCCTTTCAGAACCACCTGCCTAGAGAATGGTGCTGCCCACAGTGGTTTGGATCTTCCTGCATCTCTTAGTAAGGAAAACAATCCCCCACAGACAGGTCCATAGGTCAATCTGATCTAGGCAATTCTTTTGCCTGATACCTTTTTACTAGGCGTTAAGCAGACAGTTAAAGCTAACCAGGACAGTGTTGTTCTGTTTTTTTTCATTCTGGTATTAAACTACCTATACAGACCTGGTTGACCTTAGAACTCAGATCCTCCTGCCTGCACTATTTTCATCTGTGTATCTACTTGTCCATCTTCTGGTAACAAATAAAAAAATATATTTCATTCTATATACATAACCTCTAGGGCAAAGCAGGACAATGAACCTTAATTCCCATGACCAAAATATTTTTAGGATTCATACTGTTACGAGTCAGGAAAAATATGAGAAGTGGGTTAGACAGTCTATGTCTAAGCCAATGTCCTAAAATGAATACCTTCTTTACACCTTCTTTAAAATCAGACTTTTCCAGCTGAGCTCTCACGGAAAGTTTTTCCACTTGGAGCAGTTAGGAGTTACATAACTTTTTGGAAGTCTCCTACTTAGCATTTTTTTCTTAAAGGCTGGGAACACTTTACATACGGTAACCAGGGCAACCAGGAACAGCATAAATCGGAGGTGGTTCTATGTACAAAAGAAATTCTAAGGTCCAAAGTTAGAGCGCGGAGCTGCTCGCATTTAGTAAACAGCAGCCGCTGCTACTGCTGTCAATTAAAAAATTTTGGTCGGTTCTTGGATGTTCCCAACTCTTTGTTTTTTGCAAAAATCTTTGTTTCGGAGGAGAGAGTAGCAGGAGAAAATGAGAAGCCCAAAGCATACAAGCGGCTGGAAAGCCACAAGATTGGCGAGCTTTGCTCAGCAGGGATAAATAAGCCGTTGCTACGCATCACAACTACCTAAGCCAGGAGTCCACAAGGCACTCGCCAATCTACCGCGCCGCTTACGCGAAGCACATGTGAGGTCCTCGTGGCGAGGCCACGTCGAGGCTCTCGGAACAGGGAAGGGGCGAACTCAACCCGAGAAGCCCTTAAGGAAAGACCCCGGCTTCGGGGAGGCCTAGTCGCCAAGGAAGACCGAGGATAGGTTCTAGCCATGGTTTTGGCCAGGTTACTTCTGCGCCTCAGGCCAGGGCAGAACCCGAGAAGTCCGGGCAGAAAAAAGGAAAAGATTTGTACTCCAGACCCTTCCGTATCGAGGATCCAAATCAACAACCCACCTGGTGAGCGCCATCTTCTTCCGCTCCTTTCTGCGCAGGCCACAGCGTCGCGGGGCGAGTCTTGCCCGGGAACGAGGAACCCAATTAAAAAATGCTCACTGCGCAGTCGCTCTGACCGCACGGCCCTCTGGGCCTTGTAGTTCTTTGAGTGGGACTTGCCGGCAGCCAGTCTGTTTAAAGTGGGTGAGCAGAGCCATCAACAACTAACTACCTTAACGTACGAAGTTCCTTACATCTGTAGATTTTACAGGCGAGAGGGTCTCTGAGTTTAACATATCAGTAGTGATAATACAAGATATGATATAAAGCCTTAATTTGGGAAACTAATACTGTATTAATACTTGAAGGCTGTTACACCTAGTACTGCTTAAGAGTATTGAATAGGATGCAAAGTCTGGGTGATTCCCCTCTATAAGCCACCCTCCGTGCTTATAGTTAATAGTTCTGTTAGCATTCATCTATTTTAAGTTTTGCTTCACAAACGAATTCTTTAAAGAACAGTGTGGGGGTGGGGCAAATAGAGACGATGCTAGAAACAAAGACCAAGGAGCTAAGATTTAATTCAGCAGATGATTTGGAGCCGAAGGAGGACGGAGACATGTAAGAAAGACAAGTCTTTCTTTTTGAGATAGTGTTTTCCTGTGTAGCCCTGGCTGCCCTGTAACTCTTTCTATAGACCAGGCTGGCCTGGATCAGATAGTAGTTTGACTCTATCTCCCAAGTGTTAGGATCAAAGGTGTTTGCCACTGTATGCTCAAGAAAGACAATTCTTAGTTTGGCAGTTGTGGCACATACCTTCAGTCCTAGAGGCAGATCACTGTGAGTTCAAGGCCAGTCTGGTTACAGAGCTAGTTCTAGGGTGCCCAAGAGGATACAAAGAAACTCTGTCTCAAAACACCAAAAACAAAGTGTCTTAATGTATCCATTACTGTGAAGAGATACCATAACCAAGGCAACTTTTATAACAGAAAATATTTAGTTGCGGCTGGCTTACACTTTCAGAGGTTAAGTTCATTATCATCATAGCAGCATCTGGGCAGACATGGTGCTGGAGAAGGAGCTGAGAGTTCTGCACCCCAATTCGAAGGCAGCAAAGAGAGACTACTATGTCTCAGCCTGGGCAGAGCTTGAGTATAATATATAGATTTCCTTAAAGCCTCACATCCACAGTGCCACACTCCCTCCAACAAGTCTACACCTTCTTAAAGTACTGCTCCCTGTACCAAGCATAATCACATCACCACACCAACAAAACAAACAAAAGGACAATGCTTGAGGTAAACTGGGTTTCTATGGTAATGAGAGACAAAAGAGGCTACTGAGGACAATGTTCAAATAATTAATATGGGACATCAGAAAGGCATAGACCAAAACCCAGGATGTAGGATTGAAAGAAAGGGATGGATCCGTGTTCTTACAGTCAAGTCTCATTTTCCACAGAGGCAATCATTTGGGATGCTTGTACCGTGATGATCTCTCAATGTCCTATGGTTATACAGAAAACAGCAATTTTACTACAACACAATTGTGAAAGTAGATCTGTAAAACTGATTGGGTGACATAGTGTTAAAGGCTCTTACTGCCATGTTTGACTACCTGAGTACAGTCTCAGATAGATGGAGAAAACAGACTCTCTCAGGTGGTTCTCTGACCTTCACATGGGTGTTGTAGTAGTTTTACACACACACACTCACATACACAAACATACACCCATACACTCATACACTACATGTAACAAAACTTATTTTATAATTTTATTTTATGTGTATAGGTGTTTTGTCTGCATGTATATCTGTAACCACATGCATGTCTGGTGCACAAAGAGGCTAGAAAGAAGAGGGCATTGGACTCCCTGGTACTAGACTAGCAGAAGTTTGTGAGCCACCATGTGGGTGTTGGGAATTAAACACAGGTTCTCTGGAAGAGTAGTCATTTCTCTCAACTGAGCTCTTCAACCCAATAAAATTTATTTTTTAAATGACTTGCCATAGGCAATGCTTTCCTTTAGTTATGTACACTGTGGGTTTGGTTCACTTGTGCTGGGATATCTCCCCAAGATCTTTTGGCTTTTAGAGTCTCTGTTTCGAAGACTGGTGTAATTCTGATAGATCTGCCTTTATATATTACTTGACCTTTCCCCCTTGCTGCTTTCAATATTCTTTCTTTGTTCTGTGCATTTGGAGTTTTATTATGTGCCGGGAAGAATTTCTTTTCTGGTCCAATTTATTTGATGTTCTGTAGGCTTCTGATATGTCTATGGGCATCTCTTTCTTTAGGTTAGGGAAGTTTTCTTCTATAATTTTGTTGAAGATGTTTACTGACCCTTTGAATTGAGAATCTTCAGTCTCTTCTACACCTATTATTCTTAGGTTTGGTCTTTTCATTGTGTGCTGAATTTCTTGAATGTTTTGAGTTAGAAGCTTTTTGCTTATTGTATTTTCCTTGACTGTTGTGTCAATGTCTTCTGTGGTATCTTCTACACCTGAGATTCTCTCTTCTATCTCTTGTATTCTGTTTGTGATGCTTGCATCTGTGACTCATGCTCTCTTTCCTAGGTTTTCCATCTCCGGGATTGTCTCTCTTTGTGTTTTCGTCAATGTTTCTATTTCCATGTTTAAATCCTGGATGATTTTGTTCAATTCCTTCACCTGTTTGATTGTGTTTTTCTGTATTTGTTTAAGAGTTTTTTTGTGCTTCCTCTTTAAGGGCTTCTACTTATCTTTGTTCTGTTTACCTATGTTCTCCTGTATTTCTTTAAGGGAGTTACTTATGTTCTTCTTAATGCCTTCCATCAGCTCCATGAGATGGGATTTTAGATGTGAATCTTGCTTTTCAGGTGTGTTGGAGTATCCAGGGCTTGGTATGGTGAGAGAACTGAGTTATGATGTTGCCAAGTAGTATTGTTTTTTGTTGCCTATGTTCTTGCAATTGCTTCTCATCATCTGGTTATCTCTGGTGTTAACTGGTTTTGCTCTCTCTACTGGAGCCTGTCCCTCCTGTGATCCTGTGATCCTGTGATCCTGTGATCCTGTGATCCTGTGATCCTGTGATCCTGTTATCCTGGGTGTGTAAGAACTTCTGAGGGTCAAGTTGCATCTGGGTGTTGGCTGAGTGGGTGTGGTTCCAGAGCACAGACTCCACTTCTGGATGCAGGTGCAAACTAGAAGGAACCCATGTCTCCTACTGTGTCAAGGTCCCGATCATTAATTGTTAGTTTTAATGCCTGTTCTATTGGTGTCCTCTTCAGATGGGTCTATTTTATGATAAGTTCAAACCTATTCACTACTTTCTCTTCTCCCAAATTTAGGATACCTAGCCTTATGTTGAATTCTTTGATCGTTCTTATGTCTAGTTGGGACATTAACTAGTTCTGGGTTTTGTATACAGTGATAAATATGGATCTATTTTATTCTAGTACATGCAGTTTGACCAGCACCATTCGTAGAGATGCTGTCTTTTCTCCAGTGTGTATTTTTGGCTTCTTTGTAAAGAACCAGGTGTCTGTAGCTGTGTGGAATTATATCTGTGTCTTCTATTCCTGTGAATAACATGTTTATTTTTATGACAATGCCATGTTGATTTTATTCCTATAGTTGTGTAACGCATCTTGAAATCTGGGATAGCTCCAGCATTTCTTTTATTATTCAGGATTGTTTTAGCCATCTTGTGGCTTATGTGTATTTGCACATGTGTGTTTGTGTGTTTGTGTGTGTGTGGTGTGTTTCCAAATGAAGTTTAAATTTTTTTTCAAGCTGGGAAGTGGTGGCACACACCATTAATCCCAGTGCTTGGGAGGCAGAGGCAGGCAGATTTCTGAGTTCGAGGCCAGCCTGGTCTACAGATGTGCCCTTTCCCCCAGCCTTGAGCGGGCCTGAGAGATCTTGTTACCACAATAGACCAAACAATAGGACTCGGGAGGCATTGCCTGCCTTGGCATTGCGGGCCTTAGCGCCTCCTTGGCTGCCCTGTAGCCTGGAACACAAGCTGATGAGAATAGACTGCCTGCTGAGCTTGCTTGAGACATCTCCGGCCTGCTATTAAGTATGGATTCCTCTCACCTCCAGCAGGATGGATTCAGCTCACCCCTAGCCGGCTGAAGCAAGAAGGAACTCTGTGGGTGGGGGTGGGTTATCCCCTTTAAATTAGAAGCTGAACATTAAAGCATTGAGCCTCGATCAGAAACCTTTGTCCTGGCTTCATCTCTTCCCGCCCTCCTGTCCCTCTTCCATTCCCAGGCTCTCTTTCAGGTGAACCTGGTTGACTATGGCCGATGGCCCTCAACATACAGAGTGAGTTCCAGGACAGTCAGGGCTATGCAGAGAAACCCTGTCTCTAAACACTGTCTGCCCCCAACCCAAAAAAGATTTTTTTCAATCTCTGTGGAGATTGATAATGAAAAGGGGTTCATTTACACAATGGAATATTATTCAACTATTAAGAAGAACAAAATTGGGCTGGAGAGATGGCTCAGCCATTAAAGGCTAGACTCAACCAAAAATATAAGAACAAAATTATGCAGTCTCTGTATAATGAGGGAGGCCTTGCCCAACTAGACATCTTATGCCACTAAGTAAACTCTTTGTGCCATAATGGGTTACATCTTGTTGTGTTGTTGGCCATATACCCCTGCCCACTATGAAATATTACAGGCTATTTGTTACTCTCTGCAACATGACAATAAAGCTCTATCGCAGAAGACATTACTTACTTAAGTTAACAAACATGGAGAAATTGATCTTGTGCCCAACTATGATCTTCACATCACTGACTAGCATTCATGGTGCTAGAAATGTACTTTGCACATTACTGGAGGAGAAAAGAAATCATCACTGTCACTGAGCTATAAACCTTGTGACCTACAACAGGGAATCTACCTATAAGATACACTGTTACAATACTGGCACAAATGTTATGGGAATAATGAACCACTTTTTTTGTATTAGATTAAGGCATACTCCATTAGATATAACTCAACATTGTCTAAGTGGACAAGAACCTGAGACTAGATAGGTCATGGATCCTAGGGGAAAACCTACTGCTAGAATTCTGGTAAGGGAACATAGCAA